ACATACACAAAAGCAATATTAGCAACATGTACAGTGACACACATAGCCACAACGATGCACAAAAGTCAAACATTCAGAAACACGTATACACACAAACAGAAACACACTCTCTGGTAGAATAGAAGAGTTTTAATTGTCTTTGAGTCTGACTGTGCATAATGTAGATATGCACATCTACGTACTTGTATGTGTATATGTATACTGCATATAACCAAACACCTGTACTGTACATTATGCCACATTTACTAGAGGTCCTATACTGTCAGTGGTAAAATGTCTCTGTAAAATGCAGACTGTAGATGATCATGGGTATTTCTAACACCCTATACCGTATACCCAAACACCCATCCTGTACAGCACATGGCCTCCCGGCATGACCTACATGCACCACATTCCACGGAACACTGGGGTCAAGGGCACCACAAGCCCAGAGGTCACGCCCCCCTCCCCCCCACCATATGATACCAGCTGATCACAAAGGCCCCTTAAGCCTACAGAACCAGCACAATAGCCGAGAGTTGTGGACACACTGGGGCATGTGTGTCTGTGTGTGTGGGGGCAGACTGCCTTTGTTGAACCTCCCACTGGAATTTTTATCTGTGGCTCTCCTGTTTCTAGGGGTTAGAGGTCAGGGTTCCACAGAATCATGTCACGGCAAACTGGGAATAATATATCCTGGTGTTACTGCTGAAATACGCCAAAAAGCAGTTACTCAAGCAACTCAGGATATGATTTGGAAACGGACAGACGTTAAGATAGCATCCACTACATTTGGTCAGTGACTGAGAGTCAGTCCTCTGGGATGGGACACTAATAAGGATAACCCAACACAGTTTATCTGAATGAAACAATTTAATAGCCTGGATGCCAGACCCAAAGCACACTGGACACAAAATATCTCAGTGTGCAACACTATCAGTCAGTGTGCTAACAATTTAAGGACTGATACTAAGTATGGTTTCTAGAGATGGGACAATAAGGATAGATAAAAAATATGTCCTGTACTTTATAGATGTACAGACAGACTGCTGCACTTTTGAATAACACGCCTGTCAAGTTACAACAACATACTAGTAGGCAAGAGTGCTACCAAAGGACCAAGCAGGCTATTCATGTCAGTCAGTGTGCACTGTACAGTCATGTGTACTTGTAGGGACAGTATAGAAATCAGGATGACTGTGTAGAGACTACAGATAGATTTTTGTAAGTTTCTGTGAGCTTATGATGTGATAGGGTGCCTCAAGGATGGCTGGGGAGAGACTACATGCAGGTTTGTGTGTGTTGTGCCTTGGGGTTGCAAAAGTGCAATGGTGGCAAAAGTGCGATGCTGATGATTGTTTTTACTAGTGAGAGTTCCTGGGTGGCAGTGCCTTTGCTAATGGCCCATCCTACATGTATGTACTGCATCAGACTTGCTATGACTTGCTATGAGTATGACATCGGGGTTTGGCTCGTCCTCCTACAACAGACTTGCTATGACATGCTATGACATGGCCCATCCTACATGTAACTTATATATTATTGTAAGTACTGCCTCAGACTTGCTATGATATGGCCCGTCCTACATGTGTGTATATAGGTACTACATGTACCTCAGACTTGCTATGACATGTTCTTCCTGTTCCAGGCTAAACCTGGGCCCTGCTGGCAGCCTAGCCTCAATATTTACCTGAGTTGTCATGGCGTCAGGACGGGCAACTGCTTCAGCTTTTAGCTGGCAGGGAAGGTATTTTCTCTGTGGTCATGACAAGATGGCTGCTGCTGTGGGCAGTTTTCAGGCCACATGTAGCAATTGTAGACAGGTTTCTCACCAGGATTTTTTCAGAGCATAGGGTATAGGGGTCAGGTACAGAAGGGTGGTGCAAGTTGCACACTGAGTCCCAAAAAATATGACCACAGCAGGGGGTCTGGTCATAACCGAGACACTATTTTATTCTTCTTGGGGGACAGATTTAATTTTGTTTTCCCTTTGTTATTGCTTCAATCTTGAGTTATACTTACACTTTTTGAAAGATTTATGAAGGTTCTCCCCCCAAAACAGCCCAACGTTGGTTGAAAGACAGTGCAGCCTTGTAGGAGGCTAAATCACAGCATAGGAGGTCCTTATCACAGCATACGGGGCCCCTACACTCAAATAGCCTAGTGAGAACTATGCTGTATCGAGTTCCCTACTCTGACATGACCAGATGACCATGGCCATGGCCAGTCCCAAGTAACACCTCCACTTTAAACTAACCCATCGTGGGAAAGTGTCGGCAGCCTTTCCGCCACTTGACGCTTTTCTTCCAGCCTTTGTGCAGCCCCTTACCTCGCTACTTAAGACGGTATCCCTGCCTACTTAAGATGGTGTCGCTTACAGGCCCGCCCCCTGCCCTAGATATCGCTGACAAATGGGTGCTAATTATGACAACCGGCTCCACTTGTCACACAACACAACTCCACAAATTTTCCAACACTCTAAACCCTGAAACTTCAGCAAAACTCGGGCCTGTGGTTAAACCAGAAGTCAGCAGGATTTCAGCCTTGTTAAGCAGGTTTTTGAAAGGTTTGCTTGGCACAAAAAGAGCGCGGCGAAGCGGGACTGTGGAGGGTTTTTCTGTGCGGGGATGTCAGCTCGGGTGTCGGGAGGCTGGTGGGGTGTAACTGAGAAGGGGGAGGGGGGTGAGACGCACACAGGAGCGATTATTCCGCGGGAAACTAACCCCACACGGACCTGGTAACCACCAAACAACCGCCAACACTCAGCCCTTCTCCACCCAGCAAAATTTCCCCGGCAAAACTCAGCCAGCAAAGTCCCAAGAAAGAAAGTCTGGCATGATGAGTGTTCCCCCCTGACAGGACGCCACAGGTATGCCGCGCCGGGGTAACTTCCGTCCCGAATTCCTGAATAGTTTGTATGTGATGTCAGGTGGCGGCGGCCAGAAAATGACCCAATATGGAGAACACGGAAGAGTTTAAAGTCGCACCAACATTTTACACTCACACCTTCCCAAACCTTCCTCACTTCCTCTCAACCATACACAGTCAACAAACCGGTCTGTAGTAGTGTCAGGAGCTAGGGTTGGCATGAGCAACGCTAGAACACACACAGGAACACGGGCAGAGGTTAATCTGTACGGGTTTAGTTAGTGTAAGTTAGAGTTCGGGTCCCGACATCTACAGTAACTATGGAGTATGCTACAGAACGTCTGCCCCCCTCCCACACTTACACATCCCGTCACACGTCCGGACCAGGCCGCTACCTTCCGCTGAAGTTATCGTACTTCCCGCATCCTCACACCGGTACAAACTACACAGATACACGACAAACTACATACAGAAATGGTAGATTTTACACAGACGGCAGGAAAAAATTATAGAGCTCCTCTCACCTTCCTAGTTCCTCTTCCACCGTATAGACGCCGAGGAAAGAGTCTGTCCTGACGGGGTGCCGGATCCCGTGGCCCGCCCCCGGCTCTGCCCCGCTCTCCCCGCCGCTAACGCTCATCCCGGCTCCCGCTAGAGTCCGTGCACGCTCCTGCTGGGGCATCCAGAACCGCCCGAAGTCCTCATCCAAACTCCACGGCAATCCAGAACCAACAAAGCAATCCAGAACCAGCCCGAAATTAGTATAATTATTCCCGAGGCGGCAGCACAACAAAAGGTCGGGGTCCTATCCGGGTCGCGAACCCCGCTATAGCCGGTCCTGTGCAGTCCGGGAAAACGCCGTAACAACGTCAGACTGCTGCGTCGGCAGAACTTTTTATAACCTGCTATAAAAATCCGGTATTTTTGTGAGGAAAGTCAGCGATGAAAAACGTCCGGAGGCTGGAAATAATCGTCCGATCCAGGTGTGGACAGAATGGGCTAGTATGACGGTTTAAACCGTGCAAACACAACACAACAGCCCGGCAAACTTGTGCCGTTCCTCCCCGCGAACAAATAAACACACGGCACGGCGACACAGGCGAGCCTCCCCACGCCCGATCCGACCGGTATCAGCGCTCCTTTCTGTCAGGAAACTTTAAGAAAGTCCTGGTTTCTGAGGAAGTTTGGACCGTCTTGACTTCTCCAGCTCAGAACTCTCAGTGCACAACTCAACATGTGAAGATGCCGGTTTCAAGGCGACCCCGCGGAAGTCTCAATTTACACTTTGTTTACACCTTTGCTTTTACGTCGTCAAGTCAAGAAATGTCGCGTTCAGCGAAAATAAGAATTCATCTTAATCATTTATAACCGATCAACATGAAGAAAATTCCATGGATTGTATTTTTGGTAATATTTCGGAGGCAATATTTTCACCTTTGGGTACCTGGAAACTTGAGAAGTTTTCGATGATGTCATCCAGGTTTGACTTGACCAATGAGAGGTCAGTTCTGAAATGGAGCGAACCAAAAGGCACATGACACGGGGATAACGATATCATTTATGTATTGTATAAATATTCCTTTATACTAATGAAGGCTTTACATGATAATGTTTCCAAATGAAAGTAAGATTATATACGTGTTGTATATCTTTTATTATTCATTTTATCGTGTATTGTTCCTTAACATAAGTTATAGTAAAGTTTGGACCCCCATTTGCTGACGTATTGGTATAATCGGAAACCGCCCCGATCGCGGGAAAGTTTAAATAGTAAGCCGTCTAGCGATTATTGTTAGAACTGCACACAGGTGACTCATTCAGTATTTGTGTGCCATACATTCATGCTTTATCATCCTACTACACTTGTCACCGACACGTTTGAAGCTTTGCAGTGGAGACAAGCGCGGCCCAGAATAGACAGAAAGCCATTTCGGGAAGCGATACTATTTTTGGTGGGCTGAGTTATATTTCCTGCTGGAAATATTTGCCATAACTGTGCCAATGTTAGAACATGGGTGGGGGGATCGGGAAGGCGATATTGTTTCATGACCATATCCTACAACACGATTATGAATATGCTTTGAAGAACGCACCGACTAAGAAAAGTTACAACCAGTAATGGTAGCGCCTCTTGGTGTGTCATGTGTATTTCAATTACAAATGTATGTGATAATTCAAATATTTTCAAACCTACTCTTAGTGTTTTGATATCGTTGAATGTTATTGGGCACATGTCCTTGGTGGGTTTTGTTATCACAAAACTCGATTTGAATTCAACCCGAAAAAAAAACGCTCTTTCTAACGCTCATTTTCTTATCCATATAGCGGGTTTTCCGTCGTGTGAGCGTTTCCCGTACGTCAATGGCGGGAAACCGCTGCTCTATAGTGCGTTGTATATCTCCAAGCAGATGCGAGAAGGGAAATTGTAGCATTGTCTGACTGCCCGGTTCTGACAGGGGAGGAAAGAAGAAAAAACACAATTTTCGCTCCCCACATCTGCTTGAAGATTGATTAGCAAAAGCAGGACCTGGCGGCTGGTAACGGTCCATAGCGGCCTGGATGTCACGTGATTTTATGGTGTGCAGACATCATGTGCCAAACAAGTGCATGCAGCAGGCAGTTATGCCGTAACAGTAACACTTCTGGACATTCTGAAATGTCGAACCGAACGCTATAGAATGAGTGCTATACCACACATGGTCCGTTTACTGAAAAACGCAATTGTCTTTCAATGTCGCTAAATTACCAAGTAACTTTCAATTTTATAACTGAATCGATCGTTGTGTATATATATGAATGATTGTGCTGACTGTAAAACTTTTACGTTTGATTTTAGCTTGTGTAGAAAATGTTGTTTTTTTTAATGTTTTGCAGTTAATTTCTGTAATATCGCTTCATCAATTCGACTGTGGTGATATAGTTGATGTCATAATAAACCATTCTGCAACACATGACTACAACAGGCGTTTTTAACGTTATGCCACAACACATGTATACAGCAGGTATTCGCCCCGCTCTGACCTCCGGAATAAACAGTGTATCCTGCCCAAGTGCGCACGTTGTCGTGTTTACAATTCACGTTCCGCGTTGCCATGGCGACAGTACGTGAAACTGTGTTTACTGCACACATGTAACGTTCCAGGGCCTGACCTTTGACCTGCGCTACCACAAGGCGGGAAAACCCGCCCAAATTTGGCCGCACTCAAATACGTACACAGTTTACACAGCAGAAAAACGCCCAAATTTAGCCGCACTCGAGTACAGTTTACACAGACCAGGAAACCGCCACAGATTCGCCCCACCTTTCCCGGGGTTGACGTCATGTGGTGGTGACGTCACGGCGCGTGCGAGCGGTAATGACTGCTGATTGGCCACCTGCCAGGACTCTACTGGAGACTCGGAAGCCGCAATTTCTCCTGTCTCCTCCCGCACAGAACAAACCTCACTAAGCTCCGCACTTAAGCTTTGGTAGCCTCCTTCGCAGGCTTCTGAGTCACTCAAATACGTACACAGTTTACTAGCCGTACGTCTCCCGAAGCCTGGTAGAGGCTAGCACTTAGGCCGCTTCAGGACAGTTCCATGGTTCCTGCAATAATGTTTCAGTAGTCAGTAACCGGGCAAAACGAAAAAGGAGAAGAAACAAGCAACATGTGATAGACCCAAGATGCTGCAACCGGAGACACAAAGTTAACATTATAAACATACCAGGCTGGGAACTCAGGCCAAATTATTCAGTGGGAAATTGTAAAAATGCACCAAATTCGGAAGGCGAAGACTTTGTTCGACTGTTTCTGCCAAAATACGAGCGTATTTATGTGAGAGAACTGGACACGTTGGCAGGGCAGTTTCCTGTTTTTCACCGGCCAAAAGAAATTGTAAAAATGCACCAAATTCGGAAGGCGAAGACTTTCTTCGACTGTTGATGCCAAAATACGCGCAAGTTTATGTGTCTTAACTGGACACATTGGCAGGGCAGTTTCCTGTTTTCCACCAGCCAAAAGACACGGTTTCACCGAAGCTTCAACATTCGGTACATTTCCCGTCCATCTCTGTCGTTGCTAATCTCCAAGCAGATTCTGTGGTGCAAGGGAGTCTGATCAAGTCTGATCCAATGGCCTCCTGTAACCTCTGGCCGCCCCACTAACAGCGCGTGGTTAATACAGGAGGGCAATGGATACAGGCGGCCACATAGAAAAGCAAATACAGGACAGGACAGTTCTCATTTTCACTTGAGTTTAAGGGAGGAAAGTCGTGTTACGTGCCTTTCCTTTTGAAGGGCACAAGATCGGTGGCATGTCACTAGAACCCGGGACTTCTTGGTTATACGAGTCGAGCACTCTGCCGTTACGCCACCGACCCCACAAGAATTTGCTTGCAGATTATGTCGGCGCAATGCTGGACCCGATACTGAGTATGGCTGACGTCCATCAGTACTGACTACTGACCGGCCGGGTATGCCTCTATGGCACGTAAACTATTGTACCAACAGCACATACCGACTCTATCGAGTGTATAATAAGTAAGTAAAACCTTTATTTCGATACTGAGTATGGCTGATGTCTATCACTACTGACTACTGACCGGGTATGCCTCTATGGCACGTAAACTATTGTACCAACAGCACATTAATCTCCAAGCAGATCCCTCTTGGTGGCAAAAAGACAGTATCAAATTGGCCACCGACGGGTGGGGGTAGCGAAAAAAAACGGCCATATATAAAAATGTAACGATCATTCCCCCACAACCTCTGCTTGGAGAGTAACAGCACATACCGACTCTATCGAGTGTAAAGTAAGTAAGTAAAGCCTTTATTCAAACTCGTATCAGTTACAAGTTCAAGGAAACAGTCCTGCTACACTTGAAGAGCGGTTTTCCTCGCTTCGCTCAGGTGAAAACTGTCAGAATGATCATTATCATGATCGTGGGCATAAAAGGAAAACCAAACCAAACAGAAACGGCAACTCAGATTAAGCCGAAATTAAAGAAGCGTGTTTAGGTGGAGGTTTGGAAACCTGCGGGAGTTTATCGCGCAGAAATTCCCGGCATGCCCGGAATTTGGCGGGAAAACCGCCGGCAGATGTTGGCAACAACTCGCGACCCTGACCTTCCGGCGTCACGTGACCTCCCGGCGGCTGGCAGTGCGCTAGCGGTCGTTTCCCTCCTACCTTCAAGGTCACTTTGCTCTCTTCAACAACAAAACTCAAATCAGGATACTTCAAACTAACAAAAAGTGCTTTACGATAACAGATTTCATATTCAGAACATTGTAAAGGCGTCCAACATATAAGAGTTTTTTTGTTTACCAAAATCACAATATTAACATATAAAAACTTCCTGTCACCCTTGAACTGAAAAGTCACGTGTCCGAAGTGATTGGTCATTTGAGCCTGATGAAGGCTACAGTTTTACAACTGAGTTTAACTACTGATATTGCCTATAACTTATAATTAGGAACGTTCTCTTGGAAAGCACAATAAGCCTGTTCCCCGTTACTTAAAGATGTACTTAGTAAGGTAGTACAGCAAGACTGTTCCCTATGAGTATGACTTAAAGACATACATGTACTAAGGAAGTACAATAGGACAGCTGTCTATACTAGTATTACATGATCTACCTATAGCTAGTTGTGTGTGTAATAAGGAAGTACAGTAAAACTAAGGAGCTTTTTAACCTCCTTGGTAAAACTTTAAGGAGACGCACTAAAGAATTTCAGAAGACACCCGAGACATGTCAGTACTGAGCTGTTTATGTTGAATATGTTCCATAACGACATTTAAAATCAACCAATCAGCACATACGGTGTAAAATCTACAACCAATCAGCACGTTCGGTGTAAAATCTACAACCAATCAGGACGTTCGGTGTAAAATCTACGTTGCTCCTCAAATGTCTCTGTGACACCAGGTCAGAGGTTAGCACTAGCCAATCGCACAGAGCGACTCATTGACTGCATGGAAGTTAATGAAACAAATGGACCATTTCATTGGCTGTTGCTCTCTCAGCAGTAAGAACATAGCCAATCACACAGAGTGATACATAGACTGCATGGAAGTTAATAAAACAGATTTCATTGGCTGTTGCTTCAAGCACATAAAATCTAGACCAATCACATTCACTGTTAGATCACTGGTTTAGCAGCAAAGTTTAGCACTAATTTGACACAAATTTACAAAACCAATACAATCAACATTGATGTATGGCAAAACAATAGAATCAACATATATATATACATGTATTATGTAATATTATATAATATTAGCAGATGTGTACAGAACGTATCTCACATCAAAATGGCTTCAGAAAATTCTGCAAGCGGCTGTTTTGCGTGATTATTGCGTCACCCTTTGCCATTTAATATTGCAGCATAGAAATATAGTGTCTCTTACATTCAGTAATTTGTCCGACGTACAGACTGTCACAAAGTGGAGCGCAGAAGATATTTCTGAAGTCCTGACAGCAATTATCAAGCAGATGTTGGGGAGGAAAAATTGGTTTCTGAAGACGCAACTTGTCAGAAAACGTCCAGACTTTCCAAACCGCTCTGTTTGGAGACTAGCAGTCAGTAGTCTCGTCTGTTTACTTGGAAAAGTTGGAATTTTGTTCGGAGCTGGAGTATGTACTACTGATCACATGGAACTACAGGAATCACTACTGTAACAGCAGGGCTAGGATATAATCATAACATTTGCTAGTACATGTAGATTCTAATTAGTTCATTAGGAATGATAGAATGTACAGTTTCAAATTCTCCCCATTGCAACAACAGAATATCACAAGTGGCCCATTAATGTAACCACTTTTGTATCACAATAAAATAAATTTTAAATAATTCACTAATAATTAAAAAAACAAATCTCGCTGCAAGGCCATAATTTTCAATTGTACAGAGTGCAGGGATAGTTCCTAATGGCCTATCATCATCATCATCATCATCTGGCCGATACCAGCATTTAAAATTGCTATTCTTCATATAGGCTGTAAGGAAGATTACATCATCATCATCATATCATCATCATCAGCTATAATATCTGTCCAATCAGATTATCTGCAGTAGCTGTGCAGGAAATATTCTGTGGTAGGAAACACACATATGCAGTACAACCTAGCGCTACATTCAGTATAACCTAGCGCTATACATGCTACCTTCAGTATAACCTAGCGCTATACATGCTACCTTCAGTATAACCTAGCGCTATACATGCTACCTTCAGTATAACCTAGCGCTATACATGCTACCTTCAGTATAACCTAGCGCTAGTTATACAGTTGACCTTCATTTCAACCTAGCGCTAGTTATACAGTCGACCTTCTGCTAATCAGTTCAACCTAGCGCTAGTTTTTCAGTTGACCTTCAGTACAACCTGTAGCTAGCTATACACTTCGAATGACAGGCCCCAACAGTTTTGTTCCTTGGCTATTTTACAGGGTCTAACACAATCACCTCCATGGAACCTGATGTTTTTACTGGGTCTAACACAATAATCTCCACAGATCCTTCTTGTTTTACAGAGTCTAACACAATCACCTCCATGGAACCTGCTGGTTTTTACAGGGTCTAACACTACCATCTCTGTGGGCACCTGGTTGGTTGGCAGAGTTGTCCCAGTATTTAAGGCCTCACCAATTTTAAAAGCATTTCAAAATTGCCTGCTTAAAATTTCACATTTTTTAAGAAAGCCTACTCTAAGAGTTTCTGTGTAATTCTACTGAACACAGGCTTGACTAAATTCTTCATTCACTGAATCTCTTTCATAGTTATTATTTCTCATTTGTTCTGAAAAGTCACACAAAGTCAGCAAAGTTGGTATTGCCTGCATTGGTTTGGACTGTACAGATACATATTGCACAAGCCTCTGTCTGGACTCACCTAGAGACACACACATGTAGGAACGCTACTGCTCATGGCTTATATAATGTCTTGTGTGCTGTGGGTAACATACTTACAGATAAGACTGGCATTTCTCACACAAGATCAGAGATAATAATTACATCTTTCCCGATGGCTTCAACACAACAGCACCAACCCTGGCTCAGCCTAGATACGTCACAATTTTCTAACATAACTAAAAGTTTGACTCAAGTCATGAAATTTACAGACTTGTGACTTTGTCTCCATCTCATAAAGCTGAGTTCTGAATAAGTCTTATTTATACTGCATTTATTAAGTAGTTCACATTATACTGAATGGAATATATGGTTTACACAGAAACAAACAAACAAACAAATTCTGACCAGCTGATCTTCCTGATGAAGCTGAAGGTCGCAACCTTGAGCTGAAGGTCGTGACCTTGCCTGATCACCTGTGTGAGAGAACCACTGTCACCTGACATCATCACATGTCATCAGCCAATCAGATAGCCTCAGGTATACAGCCTGCTCCTGATTGGCTGACAGAAGCTCTCCTGATCAGTCATTGGCTGCTGTATCCTGATCAGTGATTGGCTGCTGTATCCTGATCAGTGATTGGCTGCTGTATCCTGATCCATGATTGGCTGCTGCACTATCCTGATCTGTGATTGGCTGCAGTAACCTGATCAGTGATTGGCTGCTGTATCCTGATCACGTGATTGGCTGCTGTATCCTGATCAGTGATTGGCTGCTGCAGTATCCTGATCAGTGATTGGCTGCCACAGTATCTTGATCAGTGATTGGCTGCAGTATCCTGATCAGTGATTGGCTGCTGCAGTATCCTGATCAGTGATTGGCTGCCACAGTATCTTGATCAGTGATTGGCTGCAGTATCCTGATCAGTGATTGGCTGCTGCTATATCAGGTGGCAGAGGTTCTCACAGCTGCATCAGGTGGCAAAGGTTCTCACAGCTGTATCAGGTGGCAAAGGTTCTCACAGCTGTATCAGGTGGCAAAGGTTCTCACAGTTGTATCAGGTGGCAAAGGTTCTCACAGCTGTATCAGGTGGCAAAGGTTCTCACAGCTGTATCAGGTGGCAAAGGTTCTCACAGCTGTATCAGGTGGCAAATGTTCTCAGAGCTGTATCAGGTGGAAAATGTTCTCACAGCTGTATCAGGTGGCATGTTGAGGTGAGACAAGTTAACGCATGGCTTTACACATGGCTTTACACAAATACAGACGGCTGCAGGTGGCACAAGTCCAGTCACAGCTGTAGGGGATGTGCTGTTCTCACAGCTGTAACACGATATTTCAGCTTGGGTATCGGGTTACCTGTATCGGGTATCAGCTTGCTGTATTAGCTTACAGCTACACCGAGCAAAATGGCTGTTTCATCCCCAGCTGGAGTAAAGAGTCAAGTTTCCGCTCTGCCCCATCAGACAAGGCAAGCTGCAGTACCGATTCAAACCTCACGGGGGCGCTGCTGCTCACTCCATGCCGAAGGTGCTGGTCTCCTCCACTGCAATAATCAGCTTCTCATACAGCATAGCGTAGGACGGGTACGGGGGGAGGTCCAGGCGGTTAAAACATGTGTGGGCTCTGCAACACAACAGGGGTCGGGTTACACTCATACAGCATGGAGTAGGGTGGCAGTGTGTGTGTTTGAATGCGAGTGTGTTTGCATGAGTGAGGGATATCCTTTTATCAGTATCAGTGCTGGTGCTGGTAAAGTCTCACCTCGGCAGAGCAAAAATCTTGCCCCACTTCTCGATGCAGAACTTCTGTCTGTGTATGTGTGAGTGTTTGTGTGTGTATGATTGAGTGAGTGTGTGTGTTTATGTATGTGGTGTGTGTGCACATGCACGTGTGCATGATTGAGTGAGTGTGTAAGTTCTCACCTGGGCAGAGCAGAAATCTTGCCCCACTTCTCGATGCAGAACTTCCTCGGCCCGTTGCTCCCGCGCAGAGCCGCAAAACCCTCGTACGGGATACTGGAGGTTCCCGTCACAAACTGCAGGACAACAAAAGGAGAAAAACAACATGGGAAATTAACCAGAGACAACATGGAAACTACAGACACTCAGAAAACCGGAGACTTGGTGAGAAAGTGAATTCACATATTGAGAAATCCAACCTGCAGGAGTCGAAGTCGCCTCTCGTTATCAAACCTCTCCACGGCCGTCCAGAACCACTGGATCACCGGGTGGCGGTCATGGTAACCTGCAGGACAACAAACAGTTGTCATGGTAACATGCAGAACATCAAACAGTTGTCATGGTAACCTGCAGAACAACAAACAGTTGTCATGGCAACATGCAGAACAACATACAGTTGTCATGGCAACATGAAGAACAACAGTTGTCATGGTAACATGTAGAACAACAGTTATGGCAACATATAGAACAATTGTCATGGCAACATGCAGAACAGTTGTCATGGTAACAGAACAGTTGTCATGGCAACATGCAGAACAGTTGTCATGGCAACACGCAGAACAGTTGTCATGGTAACATGCAGAACAGTTGTCATGGTAACATGCAGAACAGTCGTCATGACAACATGCAGAACAGTTGTCATGGCAACATGTAGAACAGTTGTCATGGCAACACAAGGTAACCTGTGTGAGCCTACCGGATCTGTACTCAGTGTTTTTCCTCCAGTCGACGATGTCGATCTCAGCCGTTCCGGCGATCACCAGCTGGAGCTCCCGCGCGTCGAACACGGACACCAGCCGCGTGTCGATGACCTCGTAGAACCCCCGGACCAGCGACTCCGTCTGCTCGGCCACGCCGCGCTCCAAACGCCACTTCACAACGCGCTCGATGTAGTTCAGCTTGTTCTTCTCTGTTACTGGCACGTTCTTACCGTTGGTGATCAGCTCGCGCTCTGTTACCTGGGACACACACAAACAAACAAACACGCTCTGTTACCTGGGACACACAAACAAACAAACAAACACACTGTAGAAGTGAACTCACACACTAGAAAGGTAACAACTGCACGCGTTCAGATTATATTCTCAGCTGTCTGAAAGTCTGACCTGTCCGAAGACCTCCTCGTCCACGCTGAAGGTCAGCTCCAGGATGTCGGTGATGTCGTTGTCCTTGATCCACTGCAGCGACGCGTAGAACTCCTCATCCACGGCCTGAAGGTCGTTGATGTCACATGGCCTGGGGGGAGGGGGGCAGCAGTGTAAGTATGGAACAGAAACATCAAGGTCAACTGGGGGGAGGGGGGCAGCAGTGTAAGTAAAAACAGGAACATCAAGGTCAACTGTGGGGAGGGGGGGCAGCAGTGTAAGTACAAAATAGAAACATCAAGGTCAACTGTGGGGAGGGGGGGCAGTGTAAGTATGGAAGAAAAACATCAAGGTCAATTGTGGGGAGGGGGACAGCAGTGTAAGTACGAAATAGATCTGAAACTACATCAAGGACAAACGGGGGTAGGGGGGCAGCAGTGTAAGTACGAACCAAAAACATCAAGGTCGACTGTGGGGAGGGGGGCAGCAATATTACATAGTATTACATAAACACACAAACACACACACACACACACTCACACACACACACACACTCACACACACACACACACACATAGGCCCAGCACACATTCATACAGTTGACAGGCCCACATTTGCAGTTTACTCACGTTCGTAGCAGGGCTTTGTAGAAAGGTCTGGTGAAGAAGGCATCTAGCAGGTACTGGTGTATGAGGGCCAGGCCCAGGATACGCCCACTGAACCTGAACCTGAAATGCACCAAACAAACGAATAAACAAACAAACCAGACAGTCAAACTTATGCTGAAGAATAGCAAGGATATGGCTATATCGTTATATACTATCTATATGTCCTTAGAAGCTGCTTGAATGGGTTAGGGTTAGGATCAGGCAAGGTTCTGGATAGTTTCCACATATCCAAGAACGTAGATTTGCCTTAGACACTGTTCTGGATACATGTGGACTATCCAGAACTGCACCTGCATGAGCATGGTTCTGGATAAAGCATGGTTCTGGATAAAGCACGGTTCTGGATAAAGCACGGTTCTGGATAAAGCATGGTTCTGGATAAAGCATGGTTCTGGATAAAGCACGGTGCTGGATAAAGCACGGTTCTGGATAAAGCATGGTTCTGGATAAAGCATGGTTCTGGATAAAGCATGGTTCTGGATAAAGCATGGTTCTGGATAAAGCATGGTTCTGGATAAAGCACGGTGCTGGATAAAGCATGGTTCTGGATAAAGCATGGTTCTGGATAAAGCACGGTGCTGGATAAAGCACGGTGCTGGATAAAGCATGGTCCCGGATTGCTGCCTTGCCTTGCCTAGTCCCAGCCACATGCTGCCAAGTTGCTGTCAGAAAGCATTAATCATATATAGCCCCAGACAGATATGCAAGTAAAGGAAAGAGCTGCTCTGTAAGAAACAAAATCAAAATAAACCCAAAACTCACCAGGGGTAAGGCACTTTCCATCGACTGAAAATAACAAACAAAAAGTCTAAAAAAGACAAGTTTATAGAGACAGAAATGTAAAAAAACCCAGACGTGTCAGATAACTTCTCATATTAACAACAGATTATGTCAAAAGTGAATTAATTTTCTACATCCCTGGGTAAGTAAGAAAGTTGAAACTTTGGCCAGACGGACAGGATTTAGGACAGGATGAGAGAGTGAGTGAGTGAGTGAGTGAGTGAGTGAGTGAGTGAGTGAGTGAGTGAGTGAGTGAGTGAGTGAGTGTGTGAATGAGTGAGTGAGTGAATGAGTGAGTGAGAGAATGAGAGTGAGTAAGAAACGTATCCTCACTAGTCGTGTGCGTTGTCCACAAATGCAGACATGGGGCTGACCTGGACGGTATACTGGTGAGTGTGTGAGTGTGTGAATGAGTGTATGAATGAATGAGTGTGTGAGTGAGTGAGTGAGTGAGTGAGTGTGTGAGAGTGAGTGAATGAGAGAATGAGTGAGTGAGAGAATGAGTAAGAAACGTATCCTCACCAGTCGTGTGCGTTGTCCACGAATGCTGACATGGGGCTGACCTGGACGGTGTACTGATCGTTTGCGGAGTACTCGAACAGCCCGTAGTACGGGTTAAAGAGCTCCCGGGACAGGAGGAAGAAAAACTCTCGGCTCGGCCCTCCGTAGTCCAGCCCCTCCTCCCCAACAAACGTGACATACAGCTTGTTCCTCTGCAGGTCACGCTTCGTGGTGCCCATAATCTTGTTAAAGGTGTCGGACAGGAGGTGGTCCCTTCTGATGTTCAACCTGCGGCGGGGAGGACATCAGGTGTTTTATACAGGACTTTTAGCAATTTCTCCTTAATTCCTGTAGCAATACATCGCTGGGATGTCACAGCCACACACACACACACACAATCACACACACAATATCATACAAACACACACACACACACACACTCACCCATCCCAGACCAATCCGGTACTTACTTGAGCTTGCCTGATCCCTGTCTGTAGCCACACACACACACGCACGCACACTCACACGCACACACAAACACATACAAAGACACACACACACGCACGCATAAACACACAATCACACACACATATATACAAACACATACACACGCACGCACACACACACATCCCAGATCAACCCTGTACTCACTTGAGCTTGCCTGGACCCTGTCCGTAGCCCTTCGACTCCAGTTTTCTGTAGAAGTTCCTCAGTTTCGACTCAAAATCTCTGCGGTACGGGGCAGGTGCTCTGGCATTGGCCCGCTGCAGACCTGAAAAATCAAGATTCACTTCGTCACAAGTAACCATAACTGCTGTTCGGAGGAACCCTGCATGTATGGAGCAGCTGTTTCACATTGGCCCGCTGGAAACATGAATCAGCATCTGTGTTGGTAAAACTACTCTAACTGCCTTTTGGCATGATAGAAGAAGCCCTGTATAACTATCAAGTCCAAGAGTTACAAAACTGCCCAGTGGGGCTTTACCCACCACACTTATCGAAAAGATTAGGGGACCTTCCCAGTGTGAGTGGTTCAAACCTTACAGTCTGGTCTTACACAGCTTGTACTTACGTACAAAACTGGTGTGTTACACCTAAAGGCAGTTTACTGGTTATGCGAAACAAACGAACAAACCTGGGGAGGCCTGGGGAGACGCCTGTGGTGACCCACGTGGGGAATAAGCCCGGTCTGCGTGGGTCTGTACGTGGGTCGCTGGGGGTATAAACGACATGATCTCCGTCTCAAACAGACTCAGCAGGATGATCAAATCCACGTCATCTGCCAGGCGCTCGAGCGCTGCGGTCCCCTCGTTACGGATCACGTTTATCTTCTCCCTAAATAAACAAACAAATAAACAAGCCAGCAATGCCAAGTTTTTAGTTTCCATCAAATCTGGATTTTCATTAGCAAAGGTTGTTGTGGTGTTCTGACAAACCCTGATGCTTACACTGGGGACAAACAAATGTTCACATTCAGGAAAATAACAGACATATTTGTAACAAAGTACTCTTTAGCAGTGTGTTAGCCTTGCCCCTGTAGTACTTACTTAAGTAGTGTGATTGAAGCGAAAGCCAACTGTAGTACTTACTTTAAAAGTGTGTTAGAGGCGAAAGCCGGCTGTTTCTCCCTCAGGACATCCAGGATGTTGGACTGTCTCAGGAAAGCCACAACCTTATCGCTGTAGGCTGGACGAGGAAACAACAAATTTGTTTGTCTTTATCAAGAAGAAACAGAAACAAGCAACATGTTTTCCTTCTGGAAAGGATAAGGCCACACCAAGTCAATTTTATGGATGACACCAGTTCTCAGAAAGAAAAAAAAAAGAAAAAGGTTTATATACCTACAGTGCCGATTCATAAATTCCACAAAAAGCCAGCATATGCCAGTTTCTTGTGTACGTCACTATCACAATACCAGCTTTGCATTCCTGTGGTTTAGTAGCATTTTTATTTTAGGCCATATTTTTTTTATTTGCCCGCGCGCACTAGTTATTGGGGGTCTTCAGTGGATGTCATCCATAAAATTAAGTCTGTGTATATTAACATAAACCTAGTGAGACTCACCCAGAGGCACGTCGGCTGCCGGCTGTGCAGAGTAACCCGACCCCAACGACCTTGTCAGGGTTTCCCTCGGCCGCGGAGGGGGCACTGGGGCCTGAAAGGGGGGGGGGGCGTCAAAAGGACAACAATTAATGTGGGGGGATTTTAGAGGGGTTCATGAGAAGTTTGTAGTAACCTTAATTTACAACATTTGTTCTTACTCCTACATAATGTCTTACAAACAAAATGAATAAGGAAACATAAACTCCATGTTTTACATACAAATTAGAAAACTTACTTGTACACTGTGTCTTACCAACAGAAGAAGAAAGCCCATGTTTGACCAACAGAATAAGGAAACTTACTCGTACTGTGATGTTGATGCTGCTTCTTCTAATTTCATCCTGAAAAATCGAATAAAATGTATGATAAATCACAGTCATACAATGTTAAAAACTGATTTTAACATTGCTAGAAGCAAGGGAGGGGAAGAAATGGAGGGAGGGAAGGAGTAATAGAGTGAGTTAGTGAGTGAGCAAGCAAGTAAATGAGAGTGAGTGAGACATCTACATCTATGGGTTACTGAACAATACCCTCACGGGGCCTCACGTTCAGTTGCACGGCATATGCGGCCAGGTGGGGTGCTGGTGCTCATAAAACAAAAAAATCAACATCACGAACGACATGGAGAATGGAAAGAAGCAATGAAGTGAGTGAGTGAGGGAATGAGTGAGTAAGAGAGGGAGTTAGAGAGAGAGGGGGAGAGAGAGAGGGAGAGAGAGAGAGGGAGAGAGATGTTACCTCCCCAGCACTGTGACTGCGTGAGCGAGACCCCGGCACCTGCAGGAAGTGAGGGAGTGAGTGAGAGAGAGAGAGAGAGATACGAAGGGAACGTACCTCCCCAGCGCTGTGGCTTCGTGATCGCGACCCGGGCACCTGTAGGAAGTCCATGCTCGGCGCGTGATGCGGACTCAGAACCACGGAGGACGGCAGGCGGGGGTCAATAAAGGTCGTCGTTCTCGAATTGTGATCAATGAAAAACATCTGAAATATGGTCAATAAAAATGTAATATACATGTCATTGACTATGTGTTATTTCTGTAGGACAATAACTTACAAACTTAATGATGTTCCCAACATTAAGTTGACCTTGGTGGGTTCTCTGCACTGTATCTAACACTTCTGCCCCCCTCCCCACAGTTGACCTTGGTGGATTCTCTGTACTGTGTCTAACATACATTTGTAGCTGCCCCCCTCCCCACAGTTGACCTTGATATGTTCTGTAAATGTTACCCTGTGTCTAGCATAGCTGCCCCCCTCCCCACAGTTGACCTTGGTGGGTTCTATAGACTGTATATAACATTGCTGCCCACCTCCCCACAGTTGACCTTCATGGGTTCTCTGCCCCCTCCCCACAGTTGACCTTGCTATGTTCCGTACCTTGCCAGTTCGGTCATATTTCATCTCCCAGCCCCGTGGCAGGTCCTGGTTCGTGTCTCCGAAGCTGTTGAGAAACGTGACGATGTCGCGGTTGTGCTGGTAGCGCTCGAACATGGCCGGGTCACGCCGGATCTTCCCAATCATGTGCTTCAGACACGGGCTGTGGGAGTACAGGTGGCCTGCAGTCTGTAAACAAACAAACAAACAAACAAACAAACATTAGGCACGTGCAGTCTGGGGAAACAAGCAAACATTTCGTGTCCTGCAATTTGCCCATCAATGATCACATTACCACCAAATGACTGCCGGTTACTTACCACATTCCTATCACATTATTGTCACAAGACTGCCAGTTACTGACCACATTACCACCAAATGACTGCCAGTTACTGACCACAATACCACCAAATGACTGCCGGTTACTGACCACATTACCACCAAATTACTGCCCATTACTGACCACATTACTGCCGAGGATGTTGAAGAATTCTGGGCTGGTGAGGAACTGGACGGCCGGAGACTGGAGCAGCGTCCGGCGCTCGGACCGGGGCGAGGGCTGGTCACTACTGTCCATCCCGTCAGCTGGGCCTACAGTAAACAAACAAACAAACAAACAAAGCTGTCAGGAACTGCCTCTGGCAACCTCACCAGTCAGAACCATGCTTTCACCCATATTTTTTTACACTTCTATTTCTATAAATTCAAAGCCAACTATTTGGCTGACTCTCACCTCTGACCGCCAAACATGGCTGACTCTCACCTCTGACCCCTCCCGCTGCTCCTTCCTCCACGGTTTCCTCCTCTTCTGTCATGGTGCGACGGATGCTCTGGTATCTGCAGGACACAGGAGAGCCATCAAAAACTAGCACAAAACTGGCACGAGAGAAACTATAAACGGGAAATACTGGCACAGGGGAAACCATCAGTTGAAAATACTAGGATACTCTGGTATCTCCAGTAAACAGGAGAAACATTCAAAGGGAAAAACTGGCATAGGGGAAACCGTCACTGGAAAAAACTAGGTAACTGCAGTAAAAAGGGGAAACTATCAGTACGAAATCTAGCTCAAAATCAGTGAGATTCAAGCTACATGGAGCCATATAAAATTCCTCTGAACAAGTTGAGAGCTGCACTTTGAGCCCATTCTGCCAGAGGTCTCTCCTGCGCATACCTCCTGTCCAGCTGTGCCCTCTGCTGTTCCTCGTTGATGGAGCTTGACCTCTGCAGCGCCTGGGCGGACACGTTCCCCCGGGGTCGTTCCCAGGTTGTGGTGCGGTTCACGTGGTCGATGTAGAACACTCGCCCGTGGCTGTCTACCCTCGCTTCCCAGTCTGCACAAATAAACAAACAAACATGTATAAACAAACAAATAAACAACACGCGTCCATGGCTGTCCACTCTCGCCTCCCAGTCTGGGGGATAAACAAACAAACAAACAAACAAAACAAATAAACAATATGCACCCGTGGCTGTCCACTCTAGCCTCCCAGTCTGGGAAATAAACAAACATGTGTAAACAAACAAACAACAAACAACACATGACCGTGGCTGTCCACTCTCGCTTCCCAGTCTGCACAAATAGACAAACATGTATAAACAAATAAACAAACAACACGCGTACGTGGCTGTCCACTCTCGCCTCCCAGTCTGGGGCACAAACACATAATATATATGGTTAGACAGGAGTCTAAATCCCTTCCTGCTATAAAATTGCAACACCCTCCTGCTATAAACTTCCAACACAATGCAATCCAACACTAGTTACCAAGGTGACAGACGGCTGGTTCAGGTCATTTGGAGAAGAAGAAAAAGAAACAGAGCAAAACCAAATTGAATGTGTTTTCCTTTGGTAAACAAAATGATTAAACAACAACAATTGAAAATAGACACCGTGGGGTCGTGTGGCATAGCAGCAGCATGCTCAACTCGGAATCAAGAGGTCCCGGGTTCGAGTCCTGACATGCCACCCATCTTGTGCCCTTGGGAAAGGCACTTTATACGACTTTCTTCACTTAACTCAAGTTTCCTAACTTTCCTCACTAAACTCAAATGAGTATTGTCCTGTCCTATATTTGTCCTTTGCGTTGGTGGCGGCATAAAATAAGTTGATATAACTTGAGTGTGCTGTCTAGTCATGAAATGTTGGAATAAAAAAATTTTGGCAGACTCACGTGTTGGCAGCGGCTCCACCCCAGGTGGGGGTTCCACCCGAGGGTACATCACATTCGCTCTCTCATTGGCTCGTGGTTGTCGCGGCAACGTGGGAAGGGTGACCCTTGCCCTCACAGGTTCCCGCACGGCAGCCGGCTCCTGGCTTACACCATTCTGTGGGAGGGGGGAGCAGGGCGCATCTGGAAGGCTGGCATTTTCAGCTGCTGCACCTGCCACTGTTAAGGGAGAAAAACTTGTCTCAGTGAAGACAAGGGCACACAGGTAGAACAAGACACTCGCACAAATACACCTGCCCACCTGGTCAAAGGGAAACATAACACACCTGAAGACATGAGACTATCAAGGTCATTTTTACACCAAACAACCATGGGGAGGGCATAGTGAACTGCTGAACTAGGATAGAACACTGAAAGTCAAACACAAACCATTCGTGGGGAGGGGGGCAACAAAAGTGTACTAGTGAATTATAATACAGGGAAGAACACTGAAGGTCAAACACAAACTATTCTTGGGAGGGCACAAAAAGTGAACTAAATGTATTGGATAAGGGAAGACACCTGCCACCCTGGTGAGAAATAGAACACCTGCGAAACCTGCTCACCTGTAAGAAACAGAACACCTGAGACCTGCTCACCTGTAGACGCTCCGTTCCCGGCCCCAGGTGCTTCCTGGGAGTCAGAACTCTCCACACTCGCACTTGGGCGCCGCTCCCAAATAAGGGCGTGGGCAGATGCAGACTGGTCCTCCACTAAGGAACAAACAATAAACAAACAACAGTAAAACAACAAACAACAATCACAGTCAGTAGAACCCAACAATTCAGCCGAATGCATCTCGACTGCAAGTGGGTCCTGGGATTTATTTGTTCAACAACAATAAACCAGTCTATAACTGTTACAAAACAAAAATATAAACAACTCGGACACAACACCTGTGGCATCGGGTGCAAAATTCAGCATTATCCACTTCTCGAGTATCTGGCCTAGCCTACAACCCAGCCGTTATAGGGTGCTTATGATTACCTTGGCCATCAGCTGCAGGAGAAGTCTGCCCTGGGTCTGACCCTGTGCTGACCCTCTCGGCAGTTCCCCCGGGCGTTCCGCTCCGCTCGATCAGCACGGCTCGCCCCGCGGTGTCGGGTTCCTCACGGCCGGCGGTGCCGGGTTCCAGCCCGGTGGTGTCAGGTTCCTCGTTGCCAGGGGCTGCTGTGTCCGCTCCATCCTCCTCCTCATGCAGACTGGCCTGGCGGCTGGTGCTGGGTGTTGATTGGCTGCTGGCGTCCCCGGTTGGCACGGTAATGCGGCCTCGGCGCTGCTGGATGGGCGTGTCCGGCCGCGTGGCGATCAGGTAACTCTCCGAGCGAACCGACGAGTGGATCCGCGGACGGAACGTTTTCGCGCCCACAGCCGATTGGTCTGTTCCCACGATGACATCATCAGGCCCCAGCGACAGGTTGTCCTGGACGACCCCCGAGTCGTTCTCGCTGTCCTCGCTGTTGTCATGACAACCGCTCGTGTCCTCCACAACGATCACGCTCGTCTCCCCGTCAGGCATGGGTCGCAGGTCGGAGGGCAGGGGTCGCAGGTCAGAGGGCAGGTCGCCACCATCCTCAATGTCAGCGTGGTCCAGCGAGCTTCCGAAGGTGCCGATGCTGTCCACTACGCTGTCCTGCCGGAACCCTGTACTGTCCAGTGTGCTGTCCGGGTGAAACCCATTACTGACAATACTCGAATCCAGACCCGAGCCTTCTGCCAGGAAGACTTCCTGTGATTCGGCACGTTCTACAGACGTCCTACCAGCGATCTGGCCGAGTCCTTCGAGCGGGAAGACTTCGTGCGACTCTGCGCGCTCCACGGAGGTCCGGGCCGCGTTCTGGCGAATGAGTGACCTTCGGCGCTCCTGGAGGCTGAGCATGGAGGCGGAGTCCGTGCTCTGTCGGGAAGACGTGTCCGTGCTGGAGGTCGAGTCGCTATCCGTGGACGGGTTCCGCCGACTGCTCACGCTGTAAGAAACAGAACACTGAAGGTCAAACACAAATCATCGGTGGGGAGGGGGGCATCAAAGCTGAACTGCTGAACTAGGAAAGAACAATGAAGGTCAAACACAAATCAGTGGGGAGGGGGGCATCAAAACTTTTACCACTTTGAACTAGGAAAAAACACTGAAGGTCAAACACAAATCAGTGGGGTGGGGGGCATCAACAACTACTGAACAAGGAAAGAACACTAAAGGTCAAACACAAATCATCAGTGGGGAGGGGGGCATCAAAGATGAACTGCTGAACAAGGGAAAAACACTGAAGGTCAAACACAAATCAGTGGGGAGGGGGGCATCAAAAGTGAACTATTGGACAAGAAAAGACGCCCGCTGACCTGTCGGAGCGTACTGAGCTGAGCTGTCGGCGTCGCGTCTGCGTTACCGAGGTGACGTAGCTGTCGATCTCCGCGATGAGTTCCATGGTGTCCACCCTAGCATGCGAGCCGCGTCGCTCGGAGGTCGGGCTGAGGTCGGCGTCCGTCTCCGGCAGACTCAGGCTGGCCTGCAGGCTGGGCGCAGACGCTACGGAATACGCACAGGCATCTGCGGTAATATCTGCATCGGTTGTAATATCTGCTGTAACATCTGTAGCTACATCTGCATCAGCATCTGTTGTAACATCTGCATCTGCAGTAGAATCTGCTGTAACATCTGCTATAACATCTGCATCAGCATCTGCTGTAACATCTGCATCTGCTGTAGAATCTGCGTCTTGTGTTACATCTGCATTAGCTGTAGCATCTGCTGAATCCTCTGCTGTAACAGCTGCATTTTCAGTTAAATCTTTATCCGCTATAACATTTGTATCTGATGTAACATCTGCATCTGCTGTAACATCTGCATCTTCTGTAACATTTGTATCTGGAATATCACCATCAGCAGTAACTGAATCTGTAGTAACATCACCATCTGCAGTTATATCTGTTTCTACAGTCACATCTGCACCATCTGCTCTCTGGCTGTTCTCATCACAAAGGACATCAGACAGCTGTAGGTCAACATTAGGGACTCTGGGGTCTATATCAGGTTGTTGCGGGTCTATATGTAGGGAATGTGGTTCTGAATTGGAGAGATTTGATTCTCTATAAGACAGCCTATGGTCCATATCTTGTACTTCTGTTGAGTCTGTGTTAGAGATATCTGGGTCTACATTAGGAAGGTGTGGGTCCATTTGATAGTGTGTGTCTAGTTGAGAAGAGATTTGTGCATCGAGAGTCTCCAGCAAAACTGCTGATGTGGGCGAGTCCAGGGTTGGGGAGGTGTTTGTGGAAATGTCTCTGGTTTCGGGAGGGTCGAAAGGGGGTTCTGAGAGACCAGGAGGGTCAAAAGGGGGTTCTGTGACACCAGGAGGGTCGAAAGGGAGTTCTGTGACACCAGGAGGGTCAAAAGGAGGTTCTGTGACATCATGAGGGTCAAAAGGGGGTTCTGTGACACCAGGAGGGTCAAAGGGGGGTTCTGTGACACCAGGAGGGTCAAAAGGGGGTTCTGAGGAGTCTGTCCGACAAGGCAGACTGGGGGTTTCCACTGCATCGTGAAACACGTCGTTGTTTTCGTCGATGTAAGCCAGCTGGTCCACGTCCAGCAGGAACTCGGGGTCGTTCCTGATGGAAACTCGGTCCAGCAGACTGCTGATGCTGGCACTGCCCCTGGGTCGCGCCACGGGCTCTTCCAGGGCCGCAGGCTCTTCCTGGCTGCTGAAACTTTCCCTGGGTCGCACTGTGGGCTCCTCTGGGCTGCTGATGCTGGCACTGCCACGGGCTAGGGCCGCGGGCTCTTCCTGGCTGCTGGCACTGCCCCTGGGTTGCGCCGTGGGCTCTTCCAGGGCCGCGGGCTCCTCCTGGGTTAGCTGGTCCAGAATGTCGCCTAAACTCACGTCCCTGGGGCGTCTAGCTGAGAGGTCATCAACACCACTGACTCCCTCAAACACAGCATCCTCCTCTTCAGCCATTGGTGCACGTGGAGTCATCATACTCTCGTCCTGATTGGCCAGGCCTGTGCTATTCAAGTCCTGATTGGCCAAACCTGTGCTGTCCTGATTGGCTGAGCTGTCCAGGTTTGGCGCGAGTGACGGGAAATCCGTTCCGTTCATGAGCTCCCCGTACATGACATCCCCGTCGTGCTGCTGGGAAAAGTCCCTCGTTTCCATGACGACCTCGATGAGTGCCTCCTCGGTCGCGCCGGCGGGCAGCTCGTCCTCCGGGCTGCTGCTGTAGGTCGTCCTGTTGTCGGGGGCAACGGTGGAGTCCTCTGATTGGCCGTTGGTGACGCTGGGAATGTTGAAGTGTCGGAGGTGCCGTCTGGACGGGGAACATTCCAATGGGGTAATGGGGGTGGTCGGCATCTCTTCTGTACACAAACAAACAAACAAACACTGTCAGATCTTAGGCATCTCTTCTGTACACAAACAAACAAACAATTAGAAAGGTAACATTTGCATAGCAAATGCATAATGATTACCTTCACATGGTGTAGCCCAACAAACTTATGTGTTTATTCTTACTCAAAGTCAGATACACACAAACATACAGTACCGTTCGCGTTATAGTTACCCTAACGGCCGTTACTAACGACGCGTTTCTTTTCCGTTACTTTTCCGTAAGTTTTCCGTTACTTTTGCGTAAGTTTTCCGTTACTTTTCCGTTACTTTTCCGTTAGACTTCTGCATTCATATGCAGGCCGCGGTAACATCACAGAATAATGGGAGGAGTACTAATTTACCTCATGCGGGGCGGGAAATTACCGATACACACCGCTGGAACAGCGGAAGGAACGTTGATCTAGCCTGCATTTTACTATATTGTAACGTTTAAAACGTTTTACGATCACCGGCGCAATTCAATTAGATAGACATTTTCTTTTGTCACTGTTGCCCAGGCAAGCGTTTCTATAGTTTGTCAACTTTGTTTTGCTGTTTTTCTCTGTTAACTTATTTTACTACCAAATAAGCAAACCTCTATGATCTGAAGTTATAAATGCCCCGGTCCGCCGTACATAATAGGCGGCGGGCGTGAGGTAACGTTAGGGATGTGCAAAAACATCGCGGAAAATTCCTATAACACTCGAAAAAAGGCAGCATATTTACACGTGCCCACCAACATTTTTATGGCTAATTATTGACCAGTTTTGGGGAGTTTTGTTATGTCCTTGGAGTTTTGCTTAGAGTGGGACAGAAAGCCGTGCCGCGACTCCGACTCCATGCACTTCCGTGTTACATTACGTTGTATGTGACCAACAAAATTATGCCAAAGGCACCACAAATCCACATGTACATATATTTTTTTTCCCGAAAATTCTTTTGAGTACGCATTTCGTCACTAGGATGTTGCTAATTAGTCGTAGAAATAAGGTAGAAACCAGCGTAAATGTGGCTCTCTCGAGATCCAGCTCTCTGCATTTCGCGGGGAAGGGCGCCCCAGCATGCAACGGGCTTCGTTCTAGCCAATCACAGCGCAGGTCATCTAAGGTGAACCAATCAGAGCGTAGCTACTTGCATATTATAATGAGCATGCTGCACACAGGGCGGTCGCGGCCAGGGCGACCGGCCCTGAGTGCGCGGGAAATGTGTTTTGCAACTATATTTTTACGGGGATTTTCTGACGTTTGACGCTGACTTTGGCACGATATGATCGCACTACCATGTACACGCTACCGTAGGCGGCAAATGAGTGGTCATTTTTATATAATCGTCGAGAAATTTTGGCGTTATGCACCCGGAAGTGAGCCGATCTCAGTTTGCGTTCCCTCGATTTTTGACAGTTTCCCCCCTCAAAATAAGAAACAAAATTACCGCTATTAAATAGAACCATGTATTACAATTATCATTTCAACATGATAGATCTATTATATATTCCTTTATTAACTATGATATCATCATGGTTGTGGAAAGTCCTCAGCTGGCGAACCGAGTCCTTGCGCCGGGAGTGACAGTACATTTTACCGTGAGTATTAAAGCCGCTAGTACTAGTAAGCCGCGCGCCTTACAAAAATTATAATAATTTTTCTTTTGTGTCAAAAACCGCCGTGAATTTAAGGCATGAGTTACCGATTTATATTTCTTCTACAGCAGATATTTCTTGTTTCGTCACGTCCCATGACGTCCTGTGAGAGCGGTAGGCCGCCGCTGGTACAAAATGTACAAGACATCGTTTGCCCACTGCTACACTTTGTTGACATACATTGTATTACACAACGTAATTTTCCGCTAGAAATAACTATAGAATAGCATTAAAAGATAGCACAATTCGCTTCACACAGTCGACACATGGATAAACCACAAAGTTATTTTACGAATCACATGTCCACTTGCCTCTGGTGCTGTTATTTTTCAAGGGGCAACATCGCAACACATTAGCGGACGCCCCAGGAGGTGGCAAATTACTATTGTCTTGTCGGCGCGCAAAACAAACATGAAATCCGACCCTATCACATTAACGCAAACGGTAACGCGTTAGAAATAATTTCTAACCATTTTCTAACCATTTTCTGACGAAAATCTAACCAAATACTGACGATTTTCTAACCATTTTCTGACGAAAATCTAACTCGTTAGTAACGGGGTACCCGGTTAACTATAACGCGAACGGTACTGTATGTATGGTGAGCAGGCTCTCCAACTTTGATCTGCAACATAATGTAACCCAACACCACAGGGCGTCTGCTACAGGAACAGTTGCCATGGTGACAGACGTCTGATCCAGGTCATTGACTTTATTTGTTTGGAGAAGAGGAATAAAATGAGTAATAAAAACAATATGTTCTTGCGAAGGTAAATAAGGGATGCAAATCAAATAGGCGTTTTGAGATGGTCCCTACTGAAGACAAATTTAAGGGATGCAAATAGGCATTTTGAGATGGTCCCCACTACAGACAACAGTTACTGTAGGGATGTAAACAGGCGTTTTGAGACGGTCCCTACTAAAGATTACAGTAAGGGATGCAAATAGGTGTTTTGAGATGATCCCTACCTTCCCCTTCCTCGCTCCTGTGATGGAACACGACACGAAATATGATCTGTCCAGTCACATGATCGGACGGCGACCGTCTCTGCAGATTGTACGCCAAAACTTCGTCCCTGCAGGGGTCAAAGATTACAGAACCTTAGAGCTATATAATAGGGAGCAAAGTTCATGATGGATTCAGTAACTAAAACTTTATACTGACCGTCTGTCACCTTCCTCAGGGCAATTCTGACTGGTTCACATTGCATTGCAGCATAGGTGTCCCTGCTATAACGTTAGATGCATTCCCATATGTACAATATTTACATATCTACAAAAAGGACTACAAAAGGTTTTATGAAGAGAACTGTTGCCAAGTTTAACTGATCTGCCAACTGACCCGATGGCGTTTCTCTCGATGAGTCTCTGCACAGGAATGGTCAGCTTCCCCAGAAATCGGTTTATCGTCGGGCGGCTCTTCGCAAACTTGTCTTTCAGCTCCAGCTCAAGAACATCCGTGGGGAGGGCGTCAAAGGTGAACTGCTGAACAAGGGAACAACACTGAAGGTCAAACACAAATCAGTGGGGAGGGGGGCATCAAAAGTGTTGCCAGTGAACTAGGGAAGAACAATGAAGGTCAAACGCAAATCAGTGGTCCAAATCAGTGCTGAACAAGGGAAAGAACACTGAAGGTCAAACACAAATCAGTGGGGAGGGGGGCGTCAAAGGTGAACTGCTGAACATAGGGAACAACACTGAAGGTCAAACACATATCAGTGGGGAGGGGGGCATCAAAAGTGTTGCCAGTGAACAAGGGAAGAACATTGAAGTTCAAATGCGAAACATGGACCGCAAAACATTTGTGGGGGGGGGCATCAAAGGTGAATTGCTGGACAACACTGAAGGTCAAACACAATGCAACAATGGGGGGGAGCATTAAAAGTCAACCACTGAACTAGGAAAGAACAATGAAGGTCAAATACAAAACATTTGTGGGGAGGGGGGCATCAAAGGTCTTACCTCGCTGTGCCATGAGGGGCTGATGGTGTTCTCGGCGACGCTGGTGCGCGTGTTCTGACCATCGTGAGTCAGCTGCGGAAAGCTCGCGCGCTTCCCTGGCTGGATCGACATCTTCACGTACGGGTCAGGGTTGAAGAACATCCCCTTCTTCAGGTACCGAGCGTGGAGGTCTGAGAAACAAACAATAACAAGAATCACATGGAGGTCTGTAGTACAAGAAACCCTGCATGTAAGTCTGAGACAGACAAACAAACGAAGAAACAAACACAAGATTGGACATCTAACATTAAGTCTGTAGCACAAGAACCTGACCAGTCTGCTGGTGTGCTATAGTGTGCTATAGTGTGTATAGTGACTGCTATAGTGTGTGATACAGGGTGCGATAGTTACCTGATATAGTGAACCTGACCAATCGGCAGTGGTCCTCCCCATCTTCCCCCACAGAAGCCTGCAGAATGACAGAAAATGCCTTGTGACAGGCGAGAACAATTCACTGCTGGCGAACAAACTTACTAGCCATCATACAAAAGAACTTCCAACATGTAGGGTAAATATCTTCATACATTATAGACCCTCCAACATGTAGGGCACACATGTACATGTACATAGGTGTAGTTTCTTACTGCACCTACCCGTGCTTGAGGGTTTTTGACGCTGATGGAGGGAGTGATCGCTCTAAGCGCACCGGTCGCTCCATGGTAGTACTTAAAACAGATTTTGGTCACCGCTGGAAGACAAAGGAAAAGCTGTTAATCACCTATTAATGGACAATCTGGGAGAGAAAAGAATCGATGGCATCAACTGGACAAACACGCATGTCAGTGACTCTGCTGACGCCTCTGTACAGTAATCTGACTGGACCTGTTTATTTGTTTGTTTATGTGTTTGTGTTTACTCACACTCGTTGAAGTGGAGCTCCGGGATCCAGCACCCAATCTGCCCCCTGTGTTTGTGTGTTTGTTTGTTTGTGTGTTTGTTTGTGTTTGTTTGTGTGTTTGTTTGTGTGTTGGTTTGTTTGTGTGTTTGTTTGTGTTTGTGTGTATTTACTCACACTCGTTGAAGTGCGGCTTGGGGTGGAGAACCCAGACAATCTGCCCCTTGTGTTTGTTTGTTTGTGTGTTTGTGTGTTTGTTTGTGTGTTTGTGTGTATGTTTGTGTGTATGTTTGTGTGTTTGTTTGTGTTTACTCACACTCGTTGAAGTGCGGCTCCGGGTCGAGCACCCGGACAATCTGCCCCTTGTGTTTGTTTGTTTGTTTGTGTGTTTGTTTGTTTGTGTGTGTTTTTGTTTGTTTGTTTGTTTGTTTGTGTGTTTGTGTGTTTGTTTGTGTTTACTCACACTCGTTGAAGTGCGGCTCCGGGTCGAGAACCCAGACAATCTGCCCCTTGTGTTTGTTTGTTTGTGTGTTTGTTTGTGTGTTTGTTTGTGTGTTTGTTTGTGTTTACTCACACTCGTTGAAGTGCGGCTCCGGGTCGAGCACCCAGACAATCTGCCCCTTGTGTTTGTTTGTTTGTGTGTGTGTTTGTGTTTGTTTGTGTGTGTGTTTGTGTGTTTGTGTTTACTCACACTCGAGCACCCAGACAATCTGCCCCTTGTGTTTGTTTGTTTGTTTGTGTGTTTGTGTGTTTGTTTGTGTTTACTCACACTCGTTGAAGTGCGGCTCCGGGCCGAGCACCCAGACAATCTGCCCCTTGTGTGTGTTTGTGTGTTTGTTTGTTTGTGTGTTTGTTTGTGTGTTTGTGTGTTTGTGTGTTTGTGTGTGTGTTTGTGTTTACTCACACTCGTTAAAGTGCGGCTCGGGGTCGAGCACCCAGACAATATGCCCCTTGTGTTTGTTTGTTTGTGTGTTTGTGTGTTTGTGTGTTTGTTTGTGTTTACTCACACTCGTTGAAGTGCGGCTCCGGGCCGAGCACCCAGACAATCTGCCCCTTGTGGGTCCCGTTGACGCCACGGTTCTTGTAATCCCAGAAGCCACTGGGGGAGTTTTCACCTGCAAGGAAAATAAAGAAGAATTCAGACATATTTAAGTTATTTACTTATTCATTTCTTTACTTGTTTATTATTTTATAAGTTATAATTTCAAAAATGTGGTTAGTTATATGTGGAAATTGTTTAAAGTGTAATTATGTTAACCAAAGGAAAACATTTTGTTTTTGCTCAGTAATCTTTTCTTCTCCAAAAAAATAAGGTCAATGACCTGAACCAGACGTCTGTCACCATGATAACTAGTGTTCGGTTGCATCATGTTGCAATTTTACAGCAGGACGGATTTAGACTCCTGTTTGACCATATATATATATACTATGTACATTACTGTGTAGTGTAGACTATATTTAATAAGAAAGTGTAACAGTTGTATGTGTGATGCTACTCGTATGTGAGTGAGTAATGTACAGGAAAGTGTAAAGTTTTAAGCCTTACTAAATGGGAAAAGTCTGATCCAGTCCTCAGATCTCCTCATGATGTATAGGAAACTGTTACTACTGTTTTACTACTGTTTTACTACTGGGTTACTACTATGTGACGTATACTATATTAGGAACGTGTAACAGTTATATATCATTACTTACTAAGAGGGAAAAGTCCGATCCAGTCATTAGCCCCGACCTCCTCCTTGATGTCCCAGGTGACAATCAGGCTGCCGTCGACGCCAAACGTGTACTCGTAGCGGCTGACGGACAGACTGGAGCGGGACAGGAAGTCCGGGTGCGCGAGGTTCGTGTCAGAGTTCGCCCGGTCGTGCAGGTTCAGCCGCGGAACGCGCCGCACGAGGCGGTTACGCAACACTTGCCCCCGCGGCGGCAGGATCAGGTCAGAGGTCATGCTGAAGCGCTGGCCGCGGTCGCGCTGCTGCTGGATAAGTTCGAGTTGCGTACGGGCGGCCATCTTGGAACGGTCCACATGTCACACAGGGGGGAATTCTGCACCGGCATAGCAGGCATTCTCCGCATGCTTCACACCCTACACACAAACATGGTTCGTCCCAGTGCTCATAAAATAAATACAAGCTTCAAGAAAATGTCTTCACCACTCCATGAAATATCTAACTTCAGTGCTCATAAAATAAATACAGACTTCAACAAAATGTCTTCAACCCTCCATGGATTGTCTACTTCTGTTTCAGGTGCAGTTTCTCAGGTGCAGTTTCTCAGGTGCAGTTTCTCAGGTGCAGTTTCTCAGGTGCAGTTTCCCAGCTGCAGTTTTCCAGGTGCAGTTTCTCAGCTGCAGTTTCCCAGCTGCAGTTTCCCAGCTGCAGTTTCAGGTGCAGTTTCTCAGCTGCAGTTTCAGGTGCAGTTTCTCAGCTGCAGTTTTTCAGGTGCAGTTTCTCAGCTGCAGTTTCTCAGCTGCAGTTTCTCAGCTGCAGTTTCTCTGTTGCAGTTTCTCAGCTGCAGTTTCTCAGCTGCAGTGTCTCAGCTGCAGTTTCTCAGCTGCAGTTTCCCAGCTGCAGTTTCTTTTCTCCGTGTAACACAGGTTCCCAACAAAAACTTTTCTGAGGTGCTCTGAACTGTTGGATGAAAAGAATTTGGTGTAAATCTTAATTTTTCAAGAATTTCAGAAGAAAAATTACACCTATTTGAAGGAAATCACATCACATTTATTATATATGTGTCCAAATACACTACCATATGTATCATATGCCATATGTGCCCATAGACACTATCATATGCCATATTACCCATAAGCACACTACCATTAAGAATGCGTGGATGTTGCATACGAATATCTTATGTGTATGTATATATATACAAATGTACTACCATATGTCATGTGTCATATGGGCCACACACACTATCATGTCATATCTGCCCATCTGCAGTATCATAACCTGTCATATGTGCCCATACAAACTACCATATGTACCCATATACACATATTATCATACGTCTTATGTATTCATACACAGTTATATACAGATATACAGTTATATATCTCACATTCACACATTAGATATTCATATACAACTTCCACACACCCTTAATACATGAACTATAACCATCAGTATTTGCTGTGTATAAATAAATGTAATATCCATACATGTATATATATGTAACTCTATATTTCTTATGTTAACCAGATGTGTGCTTATCCTGAGCTATACTGAATAGACAGCTCTTCACACTACATCTGTTCACAATATCTGTTCACAATATCTGTCATTTATTCAATAAGGCCACACCAATTTAATATAGTGGTCGGATCCCGGGGGGGTGGGGCATATGGCAGACCCCCGGGATTGTCCAGCCCCGCCCCTGGGGGGTGGGGGTGCCGGCCTTAATCCCCCCGGGTGTGACTCTAGGCGAACTGTAATTCACTTTATGTTCACGGTAGCAAAAGTTCATGGTCTGAAAAAAGTGGGCATGTTCACGGAACTATATATTCACGGTGGTGACAGGTGCAGGAAAAAAAAAGTCCAGGAATTATTTGTTAACTGTAATGATAAGTTCACGGAACAGAAGTGACAGTGAAAACAGTGAACATAACAGTACCATGACAAAATCAGGAGTTACAGTACCCAGAACCGTGCCTATCTGCCTCTATGCCTGAGCGGGTTTGGGTTATGCCCAGGCGCGGTTCTGGATAGTCTCAGGGTTTCCACCAACGTAGATTTGCTCCAGGCACGGTTCTGGATACGTGTGGGCTATCCTGACCCGTGTCTCAGCCTTGTTCTGGATAAAACACGGTTCTGGATATGCCAGTGCCGAGCGAAAATCCCGACTTCCCGTAATTTGTATGCAAGTAGCCTCCGTAGCAGGCTTATAGAACTGGGTGTTTGGCGGTCTTCGGCTGTTTTCTGACTAGCCCAGTTCTCAAAAAACGGGGGTAATTCAACCAGGCTGGTTATGTTGTCTATATGCAATCAGAAAATAGCACATAAAAGCTCCCAAAGACCATGAAGACCCCCAAACCCCCCAGTTTTTGGCATGCTATGGAGGCTATATGCAAGGTGGTTCCGCAGCTGTGGGAAATTTGCCGAGTTACGGGTCCCCCCAGCCCAGTAGGCCAACATGAACAATATTTCCCGCACTATCTTACATCTAGCTCCCAGAACAGCAGGAATCGGAGGCGGTAAAACCGCGCAAACGACAGAACTCACCGATTTTACCGCCAGAAAACAGGAAATCTGTTCTCCGATCGAGCTCGCACCGCCATCTTGGATGTTTATGAATCAGCGCTGAGGCATGATGGGACAGGTGCTCTTCCCGGAAGACGGAGGGCCCCGGAAGTGGATGCCACGCCCATCTTCCCGGAAACGACGTCACTTCCGTTGGGATTGTGACGACATCGTTCGTCAAATATTACGTGTTCAAATAGGTTCATTTGGATTTGCAAAAATAAAACGATATAATAGTGTGTTAGGATTAGGCCATGTTGATTTGATTATATGGATGACATCCTCTGGGAACCCCAAAACTGATGCTAGCTTGAGAATAAAAAAAAAGGTTTGGCAAAAAAAAAAATTTCCTTCATTATGAAATCTATGTGGTCATAAAGGTGGTACAAATGACTAAACACACAGAGTATGGTAATAATAATAGACTCATCATTTTCATTTCTTCACATTTTCTTCTTTTCCTGAAATTGATTTCGGCATTCTATGATATTAGTATATTGTACGGCCGTGGATTTCATCGATATAGTGATAAACTCAACACATTTTCCGTCAATTAAGTGGGGTCGTGTGGCGTAGCAGCAGAGTGCTCGACTCGGAACCAAGAGGTCTCGGGTTTGAGTCCTGACATGCCACCGATCTTGTGCTCTTGGGAAAGGCACTTTACACGACTTTCCTCTCTTCGCTCAGGTGAAAATGAGTATTGTATTGTCCCGTGATGGTGGCAGCATTAATATAAGTTGAAAAAACTTGAGTGTGCCGTCACCACCTCTTGTGATTATATGTTGGAATCTAAAAAAAAATTCCCTGTACATAGCCAATATATATATACATATATAACGCATTACTTAACCCACTGCACTTATCAAAAAAGAGTAGGGGTCACCTTCCTGGTGTGAGTGGTTCAAACCTTACAGTCCGGTGTTATGCAGGTTGTACTTACAAAAAAAAAAACTGTACAACTGGTGTGCTACGCCTAAAGGCAGTTTACCGGTTATGTGAAACAAACAAACAAACAAGTGTCCAGGCTGCTGATATTCATTTATTGAAGCTCCTTTGTTGTAGGCCTTAGCAAAGTTGCAAAAGTTTCTTGCTGTAAAATTTTGCACCGACTGAGAAAGTCTGTGATGCAGCAAATCCGTGAGTTTTGCTTGACGAATGTCCGAACGAAACTTCCCACACTCTGCTGATGTTTGAAATCTATTACATTAGCTATAATTGTAGACTTACTTACAGGTTCAGACTTTTGTTGGCCAGTTCTGACAACATTTAACTTCAGGAAAAGCAAACACAACAACTAGAGCTGCGGACTTGAAAGTTGACATTAAAATGCGACCTCCCCTAGAATTCCGTATAACGACTTTAGAACAATCCTATAAATACCTACTGCTCTAATCTAGCTTACTTACAGTTTATGTTTTAATTCATTAACTACAACTCCTACCTACCCCCCCCCACCCACAAGGCTACTACTGTTGTTTCTAGACTTCATTGTTACGTGGATGTGACCTATGACCTAACAGTCCACTCCCTTCGCACTGTTGACCTTAATACGGTGACCTTCACGGCTAGTCTTATTGCACTTGGGTCAAGGTCATCAGCCCATCTTGACTTTCAGCTGCTTGACCTTGGGTTGTTTCTTCTTCATGTCACGGCGGTATTCGCGCTCCTGGAATGGAAGAATAAGAATATTCCATCATTGGCAGAAGTTAACTTAACTCACACAAACTTTAAGTCTGACAAAGTGAACAATATTCCATCAACCAGAAAATATTTCACTTTCGTCGGGAAAAATTATATGTAGAAGAAAGTCTGATAGTCTGACATGACCTCTGACATGACCTGTGACATGTGTGCTGACATGACCTCTGACCTATTTGTTGACATGACCTCTGACATGACCTCTGACATGTCTGTTGGCATTACCTCTGACATAGTCTGACATGACCTCTGATATGACTGCTGGCATTATCTGACATGACATCTGACCTCTCACATGACCCCTGCCCCACCCCCTGACCTCTCACCTCCATCTTGCGCTGCCTGTCGGGGTCCTCCTCGGCCATCATGCGGTCCTTCTCTGCGCGGCGCCGCTCCTCCCGCCGGGCCTGCGCCGCCTCCTGCCGCTGGGCGTGCGTCATCTTAAGGAAGGACTCTTCCACCTTCAGCCGCATCTTGTCAGCCTTCGTCTTGGCCTGCACAGGTAAAAACATGTCTTACACCACGTCTTACATCATAACCCTAACCCTTCCACCTTCAGCCGCGTCTTGTCAGCTTTGTCTTGGCCTGCACAGGTAAAAACATGTCTTACACCATGTCTTACATCTTAACCCTAACCCTTCCACCTTCAGCCGCGTCTTGTCAGCCTTCGCCTTGGCCTGCATGTGCAGGAGACTTTAAAACATGCCTTACATCATGTCTTAACCTTAACCCTAACCCTTACAATGCACCTGCTGCCAAGTCCAGTCACCATGTTGAGTTACAGTCCAGTTACAGTCAAGTTATAGTCTATCAAGTTCATCTGTGTGGGTAGTTACATGTTTAGACTTAAAACTTTTGGTCCAACACAAAAAGTGGTCTTCCTCAATAGACTGACCCAGTGAGGCTTGTTACGTAGCTTCTTTGAAGTGTGACGTCAACACTGGGTTAAAGGTACCCGGTAGACGATAGTTGACTTCACCCTTCAAAGAAGCCATGTGACAAGCCTCACAGGGTCAGTCTACCGGGGAAGACCAGAGTGACTGGTCGAAAGCTCTAGGTGCGAAAACTTTTTGTGTTGAACCAAAAGTTCCAGTCCAGTTCCAGCGACACCCACCTCCTTGCTGAGGCGGAAACGGAAGACTTTGTCCAGAATGTGGAAGACGAGTTTCATCATCGGTTCCATGGCGAAAACATCCTTCACTGAGCTGCGGCCCTGCCCAGGCACTGTACAAACACAACAGTTATAACTTATCACTCATCAGTTATCACTGAGCTGCGGCCCTGCCCAGGCACTGTACAAACACACCAGTTATCACTGATCAGTTATCACTTATCAGTTATCAGCTATCACTTATCAGTTATCACTTATCAGTTATCACTTATCAGTTATCACTCATCACTTATCAGTTATCACTTATCATCAGTTATCACTGAGCTGCGGCCCTGCCCAGGCACTGTACAAACACACCAGTTATCACTGATCAGTTATCACTTATCAGTTATCAGCTATCACTTATCAATAATCACTTCCTACTTATCAGTTATCACTTATCAGTTATCAGTTATCACTTATCAGTTATCACTTATCAGTTATCACTTATCAGTTATCACTTATCACTTATCAGTTATCACTTATCAGTTATCAGTTATCACTTATCACTGAGCTGCAGCCCTGCCCAGGCACTGCAGGGGGATAACAGTTATCACTTATCACTCATCAGTTATCACTTATCAGTTATCACTTATCAGTTATCACTTATCAGTTATCACTTATCACTTATCAGTTATCACTTATCAGTTATCACTGAGCTGCGGCCCTGCCCAGGCACTGTACAAACACACCAGTTATCACTTATCAGTTATCACTTATCTCTTATCAGTTATCACTTATCAATAATCACTTCCTACTTATCAGTTATCACTTATAACTTATCAGTTATAACTTATCAGTTATGAGTCATCACTGAGCTGTGGCCCTGCCCAGGCACTGCAGTTATCACTTATAACTTATCCCTCAGGACATATCTGTTATCAATGAGCCGATAGTTATAACTGATAAAGAAAAACCCGAGGGATTTTCTCACCATTGAAGGTGAAGATGATGGTCTTCTTGGTATCAGGCATCTTGGTGGCAGGCTGAGGGTCCCTAAACAAACAAACAAACAAACAAACAACGGTTACTACAGGCTGAGGGTCCCTAAACAAACAAACAAACAAACAAACAACGGTTACTACAGGCTGAGGGTCCCTAAACAAACTAACAAACAAACAACGGTTACTACAGGCTGAGGGTCCCTGCAAGACACAAAAGAATGGTTACAAACTTCAAAATTACAGTTACAAATGAAAGAGCTTGGCACTTGAGGCTTAAGCAGTTATGAACTCATTTTCTGCTGAAAGACAACACTATAATTTCTGAACATTATACTTTGAGACCGAGATGAAAACCAGAAGCGAGAATGCCTTGACCTTGCCCAGCATACTCACCCGTCCTTGACCTTCGGCCCCGAGAACTGGTCAGAGATGTGGAGGAACTCAAACATGTCTGCATAGTTATTCAGCACTCGAACCATCTGTAACAGACACAACACTATCCTGTCAAAAAGTTCTCTTGCTCTCTACACACCTGCTGGTATCAGTTTGTGGCTAAATATTACCCGGAAACCCCCATTCAGATCCCCATCTTCCATATTGTTTTTGCTATGTTTCTTCTTCTTCTTCTTTCGTTCCAAACACAGACCTCTGACCTGGTCAATGACCTGGACCAGACTGTCTCTCACCATGGTAACTGGTGTTGGGTTACATAATGTTGTAATTTTATAGTAGGAGGAATTTAGATTCCTGTCACAATATTCAATTGTTTGAGTAAGCCACAGATCAGACCGTATGTGAAGGTTATCATTATGCATTTGCTTTACAAATGATACCTTTCTAGTTGGTTAGTTAGTTAGTTTGTAGTTACCTTGTTGTCGATGATGGCGTTGGTGACCTCCCCCGACTCGGACAGGATGGCCATGCCGGAGGGCAGACCGTACTTCTCCCCAGGACGCTTGTCAGGCACGAACAGACTCTAAACACAACAGGTCAGAGGTTAAAGGTCAGGCACAGACTCTAAACACAATGGGTCAGGGGTTAAAGGTCAGGCACGAACAGACTCTAAACACAACAGGTCAGAGGTTAAAGGTCAGGCACAGACTCTAAACACAATGGATCAGGTGTTAAAGGTCAGGCACCAACAAACTCTAACCACAAAGGTCAGGCACAAACTCTGCATACAACATGTCAGAGGTTAAATGTCAGACACGAACAAACAGCACTAAATGTCAGAGGTTAAAGGTCAGGCACGATCAAACCACACAGAAAAGGTCATTCAAGGTCAAGCACAAAGTTTGCAGAGAACAGATCAGATGTTAAGGGTCACGAACTGCACAGAACTGGTCAGAGGTTAAAAGTCTCTCAAAAGGTCAACAAGTTCAACCAAAAAGGTTGACACAGGGAAACCTGAAGTTCTCACCAGGTCGTTCATGTCCTTGTGGAGTCGGCCGATCGTCTTCTTGTTTCCGACGGCGAACACGAAGCTGTCCATGTCCGACAGGCCGAGGTCAATGGTCACGGTCACCTGGTCCGAGGACGGCCGCATCATGCGGGAAATCACGCTCACCAGGTCCTGCCGCTTCAGCAGCTATGGGCAGAGACAACAGCGTAACCGTGTGTGTGTGTGTGTGTGTGTGTGTGTGTGTTTGTGTGTGTGTTTGTGTTTGCATCATGCGGGAAATCACGCTCACCAGGTCCTGCCGCTTCAGCAGCTGTGGGCAGAGACAAGGGTGAAACTGTGTGTGTATGTTTGTGTGTGTGTGTGTTGTGTGTGTGTGTGTTGTGTGTGTGTGTCATCATGCGGGAAATCACGCTCACCAGGTCCTGCCGCTTCAGCAGCTGTGGGCAGAGACAACAGCGTAACCGTGTGTGTATGTTTGTGTGTGTGTGTGTGTTGTGTGTGTGTGTGTGTGTTTGTGTTTGTTTGTGCATCATGCGGGAAATCACGCTCACCAGGTCCTGCCGCTTCAGCAGCTGTGGGAAACAGACAAGTATATTACCACATCTGAGTATTTTTACACTGTGGGATGATCTCCACCAGCATTTATATGTGTGTGTGTGTGTGTTGCTGTGTGTGTTTGTGTGCACGTCTGTGTGTGTCTGTATCTGTATCGCCCGCCTTTTGGCGTAACACACCAGCGTCGCAGGCACGCGGCACGGTGTGTGTGTAACTTTGTGTGTTTGTGTGTGCGTGTATGAGTATGAGTGTGTGCATATGAATCTGTGCCTGTGTACATGTATGTGTGTTTGTGTGTGTGTGTGTGTGTTTGTGTGTGTGTGTGTGTGTATATGTTTGTCTGTGTGTCTGAGTACTGACCTTGATCTCGACCAGCATGCCTTCGCAGCAGATACTGCCTGTGTGTGTGTGTGTGTGTTTGTGTGTTTGTGTGTATGTATGAGTGCATGTTTGTGTGCATGTTTGTGTGTGTTTGTGTGCATGTTTGTGTGTGTGTTTGTCTGTATGTCTGAGTACTAACCTTGATCTTGACCAGCATCCCTTCGCAGCAGACCCTGCCTGTATGTGTGTATGTGTGAGTTTGTGTGTGTTTGTGTGAGTGTGTATGATAGTCTGTGTGTGAATACTGTACACATGTGTGTTTGTGTGTATGTTTGTCTGTATGTCTGATACTAACCTTGATCTCGACCAGCATCCCTTCGCAGCAGACCCTGCCTGTATGGTGGTTTGTGTGTGTTTGTGTGCATGTTTGTCTGTGTGATACTGACCTTGATCTCGACCAGCATCCCCTCGCAGCAGACCCTCCCGGAGCACCAGATGGAGTAGATGTGCTCGCTCTCCTTCATCAGTATCCCAGACTGCACCTCTGCACCCTGCCCATCATCCCCTAAACACAGGCATCATGGGATATATACATCAGCAGTATCCCAGACTGCACCTCTGCACCCTGCCCATCATCCCCTAAACACAGGCATCATGGGATATATACATCAGTATCCCGATTCCCACCCTCAGTGATATAAAATCACAAGACTTTAGTTTTTCCTGCATAACAATTAACTACTGGCCTATTCAATAAGCTTCAAAGTTACTTGTCAATTCTGTAGTTTCTAATTTTTCTGATTACTTTTAAGTTCATCTCAAGTTCTACTAAATCATCTCTTTATCTTTAATCCCCCCCCTCCATACTGGAATTGTCAAGTTACATGAATGTCAATTTTTCTCAGACCGTGAAATTTCGATATCATGAAGTCAACGAGATTTACAGTATATATGCAGTGTCCCAATGGATGAGTTACCAGAGATACCAAACTGGGGCAGAAAAGCCGGAACAAACAAACAAACAAACAGAACCTACCGACGGACGTGAAGTTTGCCTCCAGCAGGTCCTTGTGTGCTGTTAACCTGCAGAAGCAGACAAGTCAGACAATTATGTTTACCAAAGGAAAACTATTTTTTCTCTGCATCTTCTTATCCAAACAAATAGTCAATGACCTGAACCAGACATCTGTCACCATGGTAACTGGTGTAGGGTTACATCATGTTGCAATTTCATAGCAGGAGGGATTTAGACTTCTGACACCACATATATGACTGTGTTTGAGTAAGAATTAACAGAGCAGACCATATGGGAAGGTAAACATTATGCAATTGCTTTGCAAATGTTACCTTTCTAGTTTTCTTTACACAGAGATTTTGCGGTTTCCTCTTCTTCCATTCCAAACAAATAATGTAAACAAATCTAATTTTTTCAGGACTGAAACAGGAAACAACATTTTTTCCTAGGCCTTACGACTGAAAAGCACCAACATTTGTATAACTGGAGTAAATTTGCCTGATGATACACTCACCAGGCACTTGCGAGTTTGTGGTTCTTGGTCTTGCCGGCGACGTAGTTCATGGCGTAAGCCAGCAAACCTCCGATCATCAGGATCTCCAGGTAAAAATTCTCCCAGCTGGTCCGCAGGTGGTACGGCACCTGCAACACATGCAGGTGGGTTAGGCAGGTGTTTTAGGCAGGTGTGTTATTGTGGAGCAGGTGAGTTACTGTTAAATGTAAGGTAAATGTAAAGGTAGTCCCATAGCCTTTTGAGGCTGTAGGTTGTTACTCCACTGTGTCTAGAGCATGTTATTGCAGGCAGGTAGAGTCCATCCCTCTCCTTCCACTGCCTTTTACCTCCCCAACCAAAGTCAGGTACCCATTTTTCACCTGGGTGGAGTCAGGAAAGTGCCTTTTCCAGGGACACAGCATCTAGCCAGGAATCAAACTAGCCAGTAGCCTTGCGAATTCAACGCTATGTAAACTCTGTGTAAATTTGACCTTTGTCTGGATGGAAGTGTATTAGTGTAAGGATTAGTGTAAGGATTAGTGAAAGGATAATGTAGAGGACTCACGTTTGTGATTTTGAGGTCGGGTGGGTCCTGGATGTGTTAGTTTATGTGTAAGGATAAGTGTAAGGATTGAGAAAGGATTAGTGTAAAGATTACTGCAACATTACTTGCTATGCTCAAGTCTGTGGTGCAGTCCCGCCAACTACGATGGTACGGGCACGTTAAACGTGCCAGTGGTTGTATTAGTAACATCACTAAACTGCAGCTGCCTAGCAGCAGAGGTTGACCGAAAAAGACCTGGATAGAGTGTGTGAAGAGAGAGATCAGAAAGCGTGGCCTTGCCAGTGTTGACCCACTGGACAGGGCTGCATGGAGGTGCAGTGTGAAGACCAGTACTACTAGCCGACTGCTGCCGACCCCTGTGGCAGGGACAACAGAATCTAACCCTGGAGAGTAGTAGTAGTAGTAGTAGTAGACTCACGTTTGTGATTTTGAGGTCGGGTGGGTCCTGGATGTGTGTGTTAGTTTATGTGTGGATTAGTGTAAGGATTAGTATAAGGATTAGTGTAAGGATTAGTGTAAGGATTAACAGTAAAGGACTCACATTTGTGATTTTGAGGTCGGGTGGATCCTGGCTCCTCCCTTTTCTGCCCGTCCGCTCCGAGTCGAAGCCCTCAAACTCCTCATCATCAAACTGCTCAAACTCATCCTCATCATCCTCCACCTGCACATCCGCCTCCCCATCATCAAAGTCAGCCTCCAGCACCTGCTCCGGTACCTCCTCCTGACCTGCTTCCTGTAAGAGTGTACAGGGGAGGAAAATGGTTATCTCCAATTGTAAGAAACCCCATTAAAAGTCCCTAGATACCGTTATCTCAGCAAAGAATGCGGCAAATAGCTTTTTTTGTAACGAAACATCGGGCCTGTCTTCCTTATTTTCATCCACGGCGCCATAGTCTTTTTTGAAGCAAGATTTTTCTATAGGCTAAGGGCTGAATTGTTATTAAGTGGGCATCTTCCCAACCTACCCAGAACATCTTCCCAACCTACCCAGAACATCTTCCCAACCTGCCCAGGACGTCTTCCCAACCTACCCAGGACATCTTCCCAACCTGCCCAGGACATCTTCCCAACCTGCCCAGGACATCTTCCCAACCTGCCCAGGACATCTTCCCAACCTACCCAGAACATCTTCCCAACCTGCCCAGGACGTCTTCCCAACCTACCCAGGACATCTTCCCAACCTGCCCAGGACATCTTCCCAACATACCTCCTCTTCCTCCTCGTCCTCAGTCTCCACACTTAGGAAGTCTTCCTCCTCCTCATCTTCGATGACGTGCTCGAACTCTGCAAACTCGTTGTCTTCAAACTCTGCAAATTCGTCCTGAGGCTCCACAGTGGAGACCAGTGGCAGGAGCAGGAGTACCAACAGCCAGGCTGTCCCTACCGCACACCGCATGGTGGGAGCTGGGGGGAGAAACGGTGGTAATTACTGCTGGTGGTGAGAGCTGGGGGGAGAAACGATGGTAATTACTGGTCCTGAGGCTCCACAGTGGAGACCAGAGGCAGGAGCAGGACCACCAACAGCCAGGCACACCGCATGGTGGGAGCTGGGGGGAGAAACGGTGGTAATTACTGCTGCTGGTGGGAGCTGGGGGGAGAAACAGTGGTAATTACAGAAGCATGACTACCAGCAGCCAGGCACAACGCATGGTGGGACCTGGGGGGAGAACTTAAGTGATCAGGGGCTGGGCCCCAAGCAAAGAAGCAAGGATGCTTTCCCTACAGTTAGCAAAATATTCCTGGCCTTTCTTTTTCCTGCACCTGTCACCACCCTGAACATATAGTTCTGTGAACATGTCCATTTTTCTCAGACCGTGAACTTTTGCTACCGTGAACATAAAGTGAATTACAGTATTACTATTAGTACACATAATCATTATGTACTTGTATCACATTTGGCAAAGGTAAAACAAAAGTGAGGGGGGGGGGGTCTACCACACACTGCTGACTCAACAACAGATCACTGACGGTTCCAGTAATGTGTCGGCTTCGGTGTCTTCTGACGTTTCTGTAACCATCGTTAACAGAATTATAAGCTCAGGAAAACGCAAACATTTTAGACACGCGATTTCATATAGTAATACATGCATGACAATCTGCCCCCCTCCCCACCATACCAAATAATTTCCTACTTCAAAACGTCGCACGCTCCGACCAAGCAGACCTCTAATTTCGTACACACGTACGCCGTCGTGTTAGGAATGGTGTTCCGGTGGGGGAAATGCACCTACCTTTGTAAAACGACGTCAATCAGGATCGGAAGTTGCGGGTTCGAATCTACAGCATGACTTCTGCTGTGCGCTACGCAACCTCGTTCTGGTGCAGACCCCGCGCTAGGCATGCTGGGAGATTATCAGAACAGGTGCGTTGGTGATTTTATAATACGGCCATACCGACTTAATTTTATGGATGACATCCATTGAAGACCCCCAAACTAGTGCGAGCGGGCGATAAAACAAAATTCCGGCCAAAACTAAAACTGCTACTAAGCCACAGGTATCAGCTAATGGACTGAATAAAGTGTCCAAAGCTGGTATTGTGAGTTAACATACGACAAGCCTGCACATGCTGGCTTTTTGCGGAATTTATGAATCGAGAGATTTCCAAATTCAGCGTAGACCGTTGTCCCATGCAGGCCCCCATTCAACTGACTGCTTCCCTGCTCTGCTGCGATGCAGCGGTAGCCGCTAGATGTCGCTGTGAACCTGCTGTCGTTCCGTAAACGCCACAGGCACTGTGGGAAACGGTCGTCATTTCTTTACAAATAGGTTTATTTGCAACACACATACCATTGCAGCCTTACATGGCTGAATTGGGGGCATGATACACATTACAATTTATCAATAATGGTTCAGCAACGACCGATTGACAATGAAAGGTAGAACACTATAAGTTTTATGTGATTCCAACTGAAAGTGAAATTGACAAAATGAAACATCAGGAACAACGGTTTGTTCGAATGATATTAACTGTGAAATTATGTTAGCCGCGCAAAACTACATCACAGAAACAAAACGTGTCCTGCTATGCTTTCCTTCTGTTCTGGGATGGGAGGTTTGACTCATGCTATCCATAGTTTTTCAAAGGTCTTGTAAACGCTTTTTTCCATTGTAAAAGTGCCTGCGAGAATATAGATAACTTGAGTTCGCAGTCACTTAGTCCATGTCCTTTTATTTGTACTCATCAGAGTGCTTCTGAATAAATAATAAAAAACGAACCCGAGGCAGTAAACCGGGACAGGGCGCACCGAATCTCCAAGCAGATGTTCTGGTGGCTGAAATACTGTATCGAATTCGCAGGACAGAATCCAATACGCTTCCGTTCGGCTGGCGGAAAAATCGGTGCATAAAAAAAGATTGATAAAACTCTTGAACACGCGCCACCGGATAAAACCTAGCCTCTACCAGGCACCGCGGATCGCTGGAAAAATAGTAGAAATTGGCCGAAATAAAGGGACAGTATACCAGAGAAGATCCCGGGCCATGGATCCAATACGCGACTCAGTTACTACTATTTTTCCAGCGATCCGAGGTGCCTGGTAGAGGCTAGATAATACTACTTGATACTTTATTAGGATATCCATTAGTCGCACAAATTTTTGTGCGACTAATCTTCCTGGATTCCAACAACACAAGACGGAACAATACAGAGTCACAGACTTCACAATCATATAAAAATGCCGTTGGGCATCAGTTTTCATTCTACACGTCACATGCTTTACAATCATTAAAATGACATTCCACTTTACACAGTTTCAATAAAAACTTACAATTTATTTTACATTAATATGATTTAACTTGAGTTATATTGATTTCGATTTATATTGAGATAAAACCCTTATGTTCCTTGTTTGTCGTTGTGTTGGCATTAATATAAGCTTGAGTTGAATGTGCCGTAACAGCGCCCTTCATCTTACAATGCCATTATTCATTAATAAAAGAAAGTGCTCCTGATATGACGCTGTATCAGTCTGTACCTGTCCATCATCTCAGCGTTGCTAGGCAGCGAGGAATTCCGGGTTGAAAGAGTTCGTTAGCGTGGGCCGAAGGTTTGCATGATTTGAATGGTTTATTTCAACACCGTCGCAAACATAGCAACCAGAACGGCTGAATGTAATCATAAGACGTGGTGACGGCACACTCAAGTTTTTTCAACTTATATTAATGACGCCACCAACACAGGGGACAATACAATACTCATTTTCACCTGAGCCAAGTGAGGAAAGTCGTGTAAAGCACCTTTCCCAAGGGCACAAAATCGGTGGCATGTCAGGACTCGAACCCGTGACCTCTTGGTTCCGTGTGGAGCACTCTGCCGCTACGCCACACGACCCCACGAACATAGTTTGTTCAATTAAGAAGGTTTTAAACCTCCTTGGTGTGTACCACTGTTTGCACCAGTTTGTACCAGTCCACCTTCAGACGCCCACGTCACCGCATGCTTCTCAGTTCTCTTTTCTTTACTTCTTTATTCCACAGCGCGACATTTTTCTAATGTTCCATTCAGTCTAACAAATAGGAAATTAATCTGCAGGTAGATCGTTTGATGGTTCTTAAACAGTTGTATCAAATTGGTAGCCTCCTGTGCAGGCTCCGGGCGGTGAGAGTTTTGATACTGCGTTTTGTGAGAGTGGGGCGGATGGAAACCTTCTCTCGCGGTTGGTTGTAGGATGGCCGACAATCAAAAGAACACTTTAATTGCTTTTTTTTTTAAATAAAACTTAACAAAACGCAGTATCAGAACTGCCGGAGGTTTGTATAATCGTCCCACACCGCCCACTTTCTCCGCGTGTTTTCTCCACAATTTCCTAACCATTGTGGAATTCGGGAAAAAGTAGGACACAATGCAAAATACAATGTACAAGGTAAACTTAGTATGTTTAGATGCGTTTTGTTGTGGTAATGAATTGAGTAAAAGCCGGCGTTTTGTTAGCCTCTAGCAGGCTTCGGGAGGCGGCTGGAAAGGTAAAAATCGGACAAATAGAGAGATAGCATGCCGGGGGAGTTAGTCCGCTCAAGTACCGCACCCGAAACTGTACTCTCTAGCGGACCAACTCCCCCGGCATGCTATCTCTCGATTTGGCCGATTTCTACTCTTTCCAGTCGCCTCCCGAAGCCTGGTAGAGGCTAATAATTTCACGTTCCCCCCGTATTTTTAGTTTTAGTTTTAGAAACGTTTTGTTGTGGTGATGAATTGTTGAGTAAATCCGGCGGTTTGTATAACCACGGCATAACCTTCCCCACGTACCGCCCACCTTCTCCCCGTGTTTTCTCCCCAATTTCCGGCCGTTTGTAGAGATGTCAATGGGACGCTGATGAGGAGCTGACGAGCAGTTGCAGCAGCGCCGCAATGCGCCCGTTCCTGCCATAGCAGGCTCGTGGGGTAACGTCGTTCTTTCTGGTTCCGTACAGTTTCCCAACAGAAAATTGCCATACTGATTGGCCAATAAGCCATGTTAAATTTCAAGTGACTTTTTTTGTTCTTTCCCGCTTTAAAATTGAATCTGTTCTTTTGGAACTCACTAACCACAGTAACCAAGGAAACTTGAATCACATTGTCCAGTAACCATGGTAACATGAGTCGCTCTGCCCAGTAACCATGGTAACGTGAGAAGCTCTGCCCAGTAACCATGGTAACGTGAGGGAGTCTGCCCAGTAACCATGGCAACGTGAGAAGCTCTGCCCAGTAACCATGGTAACGTGAGAAGCTCTGCCCTAAATAAGCCCAAAACCTAGCCTCCACAGCATGCCAAAAACTGGGGGTTTCGGGGGTCTTGATGGTCTTTGGGATCTTTTAATATTTTCTGATTGCATATAGATAACATAGCCGGCCTGGTTGAACTACCCCCGTTTAGAACTGGGCTAATCAGAAAAAAGCCGAAGACCACCAAACTACCAGTTCTATAAGCCTGCTATGGAGGCTACCCAAACCCAAACCTCTGCTTGGGGAGTATGTATAATGATCAGTCCGCGCTGCCCGTCTCATAGCGAGGCGGCTTGTTGCGGCCACTTCACTCCGACATTTGTCCTGATAAAGTCACAGCGGTAACAAGACGGCTGAACCCGCAGATTTAGAAGGAGGAACAGGGCAGCATCTTAAGTGGCAGATAAAACCAGGCGCCGAGATGGGGTCATTGGCCTATCGGGGAATGAACTGTGTGAGTTCAGACTACTCTCCAAGCAGAGGTTTGGGTTTGGGGTTATTTATGGTGGTTTTTAGGCTTTTTATCAGGGTTTCTTTTTTGCACTGGAATTTTGTTGGGTTGGGTGAAAAAAAATCCAGTGCAAAAAAAAAAAAAACCGATAAAAAAGCCTAGCCTATGTAACCCAAGCTCCGGGGGCTCCCTACATGGGCTGGCTGGATGTTGGGCAGCCGGCAAAAGCGATTTAATCAGGCTAAAAAAAGCTAGCCTAAAACGCCTTAAATAACCCCAAACCTCTGCTTGGAGAGTAAGTGAACTCATACATGGGCAGGGTGACTCTTGCTTGATCTGTTCGTCTGTTCAGAGTTTTCAGACTCTTCTCCATTGTTTTCAGTGCGTTCATTTCAGACTCTGCTCCATATGACTCCATTGGTAGATCTGGTTAGAACTTCCGTACGAAGCCCAGTTTAGACAGAACTTCTGTACGAAGCCCACTTTACACATGACATCTGTAGAAAGCTCCGTTTATAAGTTATGCAGAAAGCCCAATTTACACAGAACTTCCGTACGACGCGCAGTTTACATAGAAATTTCGCACGAAGCCCAATTTACACTAGTTACCCAGTTTCGCGAAACCTTCTCTCCCCGGCAAAACTCCATCGGCGGCAAAATCTGTGAAGGAGGCTATTCATACAAACGTTGTTCTGTAGGAAGTACGTTGACATTTATTCTGACCGCCAGTGGACCGACCATGCAGCTCTGACGTCGCCATGAACGCGGGTGACGTTGGAACCTAAACAGTCGTTTCTGACCATTTAGGGTCATTTCTGAGGCCTTGTGGGTTGTCCTGGCGAGCTGGTGGGTTGTCCTCGCGTGTTTGCGGGCCGGTATCGCTGCGTCAGAGCTGTTATTATGGCTGTTTATTACATCTCACATTTCGCGCGTCGCTTTCGTGCCGCAAAAACACTGTTTAGATTAGAATGCGCTTGTGGTGCGCGTACGTCACCCGCGGTTGACGTCACCAGCCCAGCTAATCCACCCCGGCCTACGAGGGAGGCGCCGCGCACATTTCAAAAGCCGTTTTACCCAATAGGAGCGCGTTAATTCGCCCACGTGATGTAAGGATGTTGTAGGCAGCGGAGTCCCGCCCCCGGCTAACAAGTGGCCGTGCAAAATCACTGATCAACAAGCAAGTCGGTTTTGGGAGGGCAACTTCGGCACAGGGCGGAGGTTTTCCCTGGTTTCTACCGCCGATTTCTCGCGTTTTTCCTCATGCAGAGACGAAATGGACGCCCCAGAAGGTGAGATTATCCCTCTCCATGCTTTCAGGCGCTGATTTGAGCCTGGGCGGAGCTGTAGCGGTCTAGCCAGGCCGGGAGAAGGGTAGCGGGGTGAGCTCGCCATGTCGGCGGGCAGAAACAGCGTCAGCCCCCCGGGTTCGGCAAGCAGGCGGTCGGCATGGGAGGACGGCAGCGCCGCCGCCGCCGAACAACCAGCCAGGGTCACCAACTCTAACGACAACCACCACCGGGAACAGAACGGGTCCATGAAAGGGACGTCTCGGCCCAGCTCGGCGGCGAGCGGCAAGAGCTGCGCCGCCGCCGGCCCGTGCGCCAACACCCGTACGGCGTGGAAGGACGCCTCGGTGCGCTCCCGTAACGGCGACCTGCGGCACCAGTCCGTAGACATCGGGTTAGAAGAGCGCAACGGGAAAACCGAGAAGGATAGCCGGGATCCGGGCGACGCCACGGCCCCTCAGAGGGGCCCTACGTGTGCTGACTGCCTCAAGACGGTCTCCAAGGTGTTCAAGTCCAAGAAATTCAAATCTGAGAAGCTGGAGAGACTGTACCAGAGGTACTTCTTCAGGCTGAACCAAAGCAGTTTGAGTCAACTCGTCATCTTGTTGGTTGTGGTTTGCGGCGTTCTGATGGCGTTCTACTACGGCGAAGGGCGCTTGGTACCCGTCTACGGTATTGTACTGGGCGTACTGCTGTCCTTGTTTGTGATTCTCTTGTTCATGTGCAATCGGAACTCGTTCACGCAAAAGCAGCTCAGCGCGACGTGCTACTTCCTACTCGCCGCCATCGCGGTGATCGTGGTACTAGCCGTAACGGCGGCGGACCCGAGAATCGCGTCGGAGGCGGTGTGGATTACGATATTCTGCATCTACCTGGTGTACACGCTGCTGCCCGTACGGATGCGGGTGGCCGTGCTGAGCGGTTCGGCGCTCGCGGTCATACACACGGCCTGCGCTGGCGGCATCAACAGGGACGACCAGCTGTTCCTATGGAAACAGGTCAGTCAGCATCCGCATCACATTTATCTTCATCTTCTTCCTCCTCATCTTCCTCATCTTCCCTCATCACAAATGTATCCATGTCTGTTACTATGGAAACAGGCCAGTCAGCATCATCATCATCTTCCTCCTCATCTTTCTTATCATCTTCCTCATCACAAATGTATCTATGTTACTATGGAAACAGGACAGTCAGCATCCGCATCACTTTTCTCATCTTCTCCCCATGTTCCTCATCATGTTTTATCCTCATCTTCCTCATCACCCCCTTCCTCATCATCTCATCACACATGTATGTATGTCTGTTACTATGGAAACAGGTCAGTCAGCATCCGCATCAATTCTCATTTATCATCTTCCTCATCAGGACTCCATCTATGTCTGTTGGGGTTTGTTATATGTAGGTGTTTTGACTCCAAATTAATAGACAACATATTTACTTAGTCACACCATCAGGCACTCACTCACTCACTCACTCACTCACTCACTCACTCACTCACTCACTCACTCACTCACTCACTCAGGCACTCACTCACTCACCCACTCATTCACTCACTCACTCACTCACCTACTCACTCACTCACTCACTCACAAACTCAAAACATCACTCCTCACTCTCATTTACTCCTATGGAAACAGGTAGCCTGGGTACCATCCCCAGTAGTATATTCGCAAACTCTATAACTGGGTCTGGACTTGAACACATATGTAGCGTCTGGAGTCTAAATATTCGTTCAGATTTTGAACGAGCGCGCTGATTGGTCCTACTCGTCTAAGCCCTTTTTGGGGTGTGTACATATTAGGTAAGGGCCGTTTGGACACGTTAGCGTCCGTTCGAACGTCCGAACGGCAACGTTAAGATAGATCCTTGTTCTTATCTTATTTTCATCAACATGTCCGACGGCGAACCGAACGCTAAAGCGCACATGATATAGCCGTAGTCAGTCTTTCCGCGATCGATCATCAACAGGGCTGACGCACAAGCCGCTCAGCTCTTGGAGGTTGATGTTGACCTCGCAATCACGTCCGTTTTGGACGATTTAGACGGAATATCGTCGCTCAAAAATGAGCAAAAAGATGCATTGAACAATTTCAAAATAGAACGCACCAAGAAAAGGAACACTCGCGCGAAGATCTGTGTTTACAAAACAACAAACATCACTTGAATAAATACAGGCGCGCCATTGGCTGTCGCCTCTGAGGCTCAGCCAATCAAATGAAGCCCCGCTGCTCGGGCTAGCTCATTACGTGACGTCATGACCAATCGTTTTATATGTGTTCAAGTCCAGACCCAGTTATAGAGTTTGCGAATATACTACTGGGGATGGTACCCAGGCTAGGAAACAGGTCAGTCAGCATCCGCATCACTTTCCTCCTCATCTTTCTTATCATCTTCCTCATCATGAATGTATCTATGTCTATTACTATGGAAACAGATGAGTCAGCATCATGACCATCTTCCTCCTCATCTTGCTCCTCTTGTTCAACATCTCATCCCGAATGTATCTGAATTATAACTGTTTATAATGTTGATTGTTTATTGTCCAGTTGCCAGGTTGAGCCCTTTATAATAGCTTCCGGCAGTTCCTGACTTGATATCTATTTATACAGTTTGAACAATAGATCAAATCAGATGTCTTCACGACTCCAACAATGACTCACAACAAGTGTGGGATCTGATGGGTCTGTGTTTCACCCAAAATGTACACACTTAAGGTACATGTAGGTGTTTTGGATCCTGAATTGATAGACAACACATTCACTGACTCACACATTCACTCACTAACTCACACACACACACACACACACACACACACACACACATACATATGCACTCACACACACACTCAAAAGTCATGAAATATAAGTATAACTATAAAACGAAGAAGACTTGTACATCATTAACTAGTTCTATATCACACCTCGCTTCTTAAATTATAAATATCTAGAAATACTGATTTCAGAAAAATCACAGTGATACGGAATGACCCCTGGTAGAGAAGGTTATTTTAACAACCTGGACAAAAACCTAAAAATTGTCTCCCTTATCTTAAACTATATCTATACTTATATATAATTCTATTACCATTATAGTAATATAGATTTCAGAAAAATCACCTCAGTGATATATAATAACCCATATAAAAGTACATATAATAAAATGACTTGCACATAATGAACTACATGTAGTTCTAAATTACACCTCACATGTTCCTTATCATAAATTATATCTATTTATACATATATCTAGAAATACTAATTTCAGAAAAATCACCAGTGATATGTATTAATGTAATAACCCATCCCATGGCAGTATAGAAGGTTATTATAACAGACTGGATGAAAACTTTGGGTGTCCCTTATCTGAAACTATATCTATATTCTATATATTTACATATTTATGCTATTTATATATAATTATATCATCATTATTGTATATATAGATATTTAGAAATACTAATTTCAGAAAAAATCACCGCAGTGATATGCAATAACCCGTGGCAGTAGAAGGTTATTATAACAGCTGTAGAGAAGCAATCACGACTGCGTTCAGAAATGGCAAAAATCCCTCATCAAAAATTCATGACTGTCCATAATGAAGCTGGTGTTGCTCACATAATAGTCAGGCCAGCGGCTGGTATGGTGGGGATCACACCGGCGGGTTTATAATGCTATAATCCGCCAGAGGAGCAACAATTGGGTATCAGTTTTCACAGGACGAAGCAACAACAGGCAGGGCTCGAAATTCATTTTTGGGAATAATTGCACTGGTGCACCCAACCTAGGAAATTAAGTGCACACTGTCACAAAAAATTTTTGGGTGCACCATATACAACTATAAGATATTATTTATTAGAATAAGTAGAAAATCAGCAAAAACTGATATTTCATTTATAAAGAAAAACACTATAACTTTATGTATAACAATTATTTTATGATAATTTTTCTGACACTTAGATGTTAAGAATATGCTGTATACTACTATACATTTAACATCTTTACTGTTTACATACGTAAACCTATGAAAATATTTAGGTGCACAGCTCCAAATTTGGGTGCACTAAGGTGCACATGCACCCAGTATTTCCAGCCCTGTTCTGGGTATCGGTTTTCACACGTCTTGTTGTGACAATATTACTTCACCTTTGATCCAAAGTGCTGTGGCCTTAGACAACAAAAGAGGCACCAACAACAACAGGGAACACTTGTGTATAATACCTGTGTCCTGATTCTTGTTGAACATTGGATCAGGGTCGGATTAAGGGATGATTTGGGGATAATCTTGCCAATCAACCAAAGCAGGGCAAAGGTGAAACGTCAGATTAGAGCAGGATTTATGACGATTAGATTTAGATAAATCTGTGGGTAGGTCAGAGGTTACAGGTGTCAAACTGACTGAAATTACTTTAAAAAAAATTACAACCAATCAAAAGAAGTGTTATCTTTTAGGTATCAATTTTATTTATTTTACCACAAGGTTACACTTAGGTCATTTGACCTTTTTTTTCACATACCTACTTCTGGGACATTAAAAATACACAGTAAATATGAGAAGTACAAAATAGTACAATAACAACGATACACACATACATGATTAAGTCAGCTACTGTTATCTTGCAAATTCAGCATTGTCATGTTTACTTCTCTGTACTGTGCTCACTGATGTACATTAACGATTAAGTGATTTTTGGATTGCGGTTTCTTGCTTTGTTGTTCAGTAAGAATTGAATGAGCTCTCACCACCAGCTCAAAATTAGTCTGGTCCTGCTGACTTTAATCTTTTATGCAATTCGCAAGAAAAATTCCAAAATGCCACGTAACCATGTCTAACATCTCATCCTGTTTGAAGTAAAATGTCTGGATGTTTCTGTATTCAGCCGTGTGGGTGTTTATGTAGCTTGTTAGTTGTACCCAAAATATAATCTCCAAGCAGATGTTTTGATTGACATGATAGTATCTAATATGCCAGTGTTTGTTAGGCGAAAAAGCTCTTTGTTCTCTTTTTATTTTGATGCCCTTTACTTAAGCGCAAAAGAATAGTCTTCCAGGCTTTATACAGAAATAAAAACACAGTCATATACAGCAGATAACATAGTTAAAGAAATTTACACACAAAAAAAATTATGTACAAAATAAAAGGAATATAATCTACATACTAAGTTACTAAGTATATGTCCATTGGTGGATGGCGAACCTATACGTTAAAAAATGATATTGTACGTTAAAAGTGCCCAAAACACATCAAGAATATCAAGAATAAGCCAAAGCCAAACCTCTGCTTGGATTGTTCCCATGACAAGGACGTCAGTTTATGTTATCTGGCCAGATCTTGAAGAGGCACTTGGAGGACCCAGGGTCCTCCACCAATAAAGAAACTATCCCCTGTGAGGATCTAGTAGCTAAATTGACCCCGCACATCCTCCCAACATCATAAATGGATTATAAGCCACGGGGTGTCTGAACCCGACTGCCAGTGGAAACAATGGGAACAGACGACAGACAGTGATTTGCATATTAACTGACGTTTGAAGTTTTGAAAAATGTTGTATTTTATCTTCACTAGTTTTTCAACAAAACATTGCCATACAAGGAATGACACAGACAGTTGCAGCAAACCTAAACACAATCCATGTAACATTTACTTGGAGGTCGTTATACACGATAAGGGCCTACAGTTTCCAATTTGAACAATTCCAGCAGAGATGAGCCTCTGTCAAGCTTCCATGTTTGTTTCAAAAACTTATATCTGTAATCACAAATTGCACATCTTATCCACAGCCAAACTAGATTTGTATTGATATGATAGTTGTATGTTAGAAAATATACAATGTAGAAACATGTAGAAACACATTTGGCGGCTTCTTGCATTATATATTAGAATCCAAGTCTGAAATGCTGAATAGATGAAGTCCCAGTTTATCAGGATTGGCATAGTACATGCCTGTGTAGTTGTTAGTCTATATTCTTGTTGTTTAGTAAAATATTATATGTACTTTTCA